AGTTAAATCCAGTTGGTGGCCAGTCACAAGTGGTGTCCCCTAGGGCTCGGTACAAAGGCCACTCCTATTTAACACCTTCATTAATGATCTTGATGAGGGGAGTGAATATAGCCTCACTAAGTTTGCAGACTACACCAAGTTGGGAAGGAGCGTTGATCTGCCAGAGGCACTACAGAGGGACCTGGATAGGCTGTATCAATGGGCAAAGGTAAACTGTGTGAGTTTCAATAGGGCCAAGCGTCAAGTCCTGCGTTTTGGTCACAGCAACCCTACAGGCCTGGGAAGGAGTGGCTGGAAAGCTGCCTGACAGAAAGATACCTTGGCGTACTGATGGACAGTTGGCTGAGTATGAGCCAGCAGTGTGCCCAGGTGGCCAAGAAGGTCAATGGCATCCTGGCTTGTATTTGGAATTGTGTGGTCAGCAGGACTAGGGAAGTCATCCTGCCCCTGTACTGAGCCCCATGCCAAGTAGGGTTTTGGGCACGTCAGTACAGAAGGGACCTGCTGGAGCAGGTCCAAAGAAGGGCAACAAAGCTTGTAAAGGGCTTGGAGAGTATACCCTATGAGGAGCAACTGAAGGAACTGGGGCTGTTTAGTCTGGGGATAAGGAGGCTGAGGGGAGACTTCACTGTTATCTTCCAATACCTGAAAGGTGATTGCAGTGAGAGCGGGGTTGGTCTCTTCTCACTGGCGACAGGTGACAGGACGAGGGGAAATGGCCTCAAGTTGTGCCAGGGTAAGTTTAGGTTGGATATCAGGAAACACTTCTTTACAAAAAGGGTTGTTAAGCACTGTAATAGGCTCCCCAGGGAGGTGGTTGAGTCACCATCCCTGGATGTGTTTAAAACTGTTTGGATGTGGTGCTCAGAGACATGATTTAGTGGTGGGTTGTTAGAGTTAGGGTAGTGTGGTTAGACTGTGGTTGGAGTTGATGATCTTTAGGGTCTTAACCAACATGATCAATTCTGTGATTCCATGATCTTAGTGACCTTTTATGATGGAGTCACTGCATCATCAGACAAGGGAAGAGCCACTGATGTAATCTATCTGGACTTCAGTAAGGCTTTTGACACAGTACCCCACAACAACCTTCTCTCCAAATTTGAAACATGGATTTGATGATAGGACTGTTCAATGGATGAAGAACTGGCTGCAGGATTGAGTTCAGAATGTTGTGGCTGAGATGGGGATCAATGTGTCCCACAAGGGTCAGTGCTGGAGCTGGTACTCTTTAATATCTTCATCAATGACATTGACAGTGGGGTCGAGTGCACCCTCAGCAAATTTGCTGATGACACCAAGCTGTGGGGTGCAGTTGATGCACCAGGGGGATGGGATGCCACCCTGTGGGGCTTAGACAGGCTTGAGGAGTGTGCCCAGGTAACCTCATGAGGTTTAACAGATCCAAATGCATGGTCTTGTGCCTGGGACAAGGCAACCCCCACTACCAACGCAAGCTTAGGGGATGAATGGATTGAGTGCATCCCTTCTGACAAAGAGCTGGGAGGTACTGATGGCTGGCAGCTGGACATGAGCCAGCAATGTGCCCTTGCAGCCCAGAAAGCTAACCATATTCTGGGCTACATCAAAAGAAGCATGGCCAGCAGGAAGAGGGAGGTGATCCTGCCCCTCAGCTCTGTGCTGCTGAGGCCTCACCTGGTGAACTGCGTCCAGATGTGGAGTCCTCAGTACAGGAGAGACATAGACCTGGAACATGTCCAGAGGAGAACTGTAAAGATCCAAGGGATGGAACGCATCCCCTATGAGGACAGGCTGAGAGAGCTGGGGCTGTTCAGCCTGGAGAAGAGAATGCTCTGAAGTGACCCGATAATGGCCTTTCAGTATCTAAAGAGGAGCTACAGGAAAGAAGGGGGCAGACTCTTTAGCAAGGTCTGTGGTGACAGAACGAGGAGAAATGGTTTCAAGCTTAAAGAGGGTAGGTTTAGGTTAGATATAAGGAAAAGGTCTTTTACAGTGAGGCTGGTGAGGCACTGGAACAGGTTGCCCGCAGATGTGGTTGATTGATATCCTGTTGTTGGAGACTTTTGAGGTGAGCCTGAATCAGGCCCTGGGCAACCTGATGTAGTTGTGCATGTCCGTGTTCATTGCAGGGGAGCTGGACTAGATAACATTGAGAGGACCCTTCCACCTCTAAGGATTCTATGATTCTGTGAGAAGGTGTGTCAGAAGCACAACAGGGCATTGCACAGTATTGCACGTTCACCTTCCCAATTTAATTACATAGTAGGAATAACAGATGTAGAAATAGCCAGGCAGTTCATCATCACCTCACTGTGATGTGGGGAATGCATTGCTTTTCCTATTCAGTATGCCCCAGGGGAGGACAAGGCATACTCTGACAGAAGCCATTCACACTAACACCATTTGAGGAGAAGAAGCATTTTGCTGCAGAAAGAAGTTAACCACTTTTGTGCCAGTACTAACTTGGCCAGTTCAGCTTCTCAGGAAGATTTAACTTCATTCTCTTTTTGTTTGGAAATTCCTGTCATGCCAACAGCATGTGCTTAAGGATAGTAATGTGCTTGAACATTTGTAATTGTGAGAAGGAGCTCATGCCAGAAGTGCATTAGCAGAACAGAGATTAAGCATGTAGTGAATTATGTAGATCATGACAGATGACTGTAAATAGGACTGTGAAGCAGGCCTGCACTTGTCATGTATTTTGTGTATGTCCTGTCTATCACAGAGGAGGCTTCTTAGAAATTACTGCGATAAAGGCTTAAACGTTTTATTAGAACAGGCCCTTTGACTGCCAACTCAGGTTATGAATCAAAAATCAGAGTTCAGGGACTGAAAAAACACAACACAAAACCCACAAAAAACAGCTACACAATGCTTAAGAGCGCTGCTGAAACAAGTCTGGAACCAATTTTTCTATGTATAAAAGTTCCATGATCTGAAAGCCATCTGGGCCTCAGAGGTTTAGAAATAAATGGAACACCCTGCTGGAACACTTTCAGACTGCAACAGCTCCTGCAGTCCTGCAGAGCCATGGAACAGCAGGCCTAGAAACTGTCAGACAAGGCTTGGTACAACCTGTCATGGTCAGTGTCTAGCAATTTACAGTATGGAGGGGGTTGAATGTCCAGGAAAAGGAACGCTCATACCTGGAGGAACGCAGAAAACCTTCTTTGGTAGACCAAATTTGATTTTTTTTTTTCCTTAATACATTTTAAGGCATACCTTTGAAGCTGCTAAAGAGTCTGCAATATTAAAATAGCTCTGAAATGAGTAAGTTACTGAGCAGAATACTGATAAAGTGGTCAGAGAGACACAGAACTTAACACCATCATATGGGCCTGCTGATTATTCTCATCAGAAATAGAGGAGCACAGGTTTTTTTCATCAAGAAGAAAGTTACACTAGAAGTTGCTAGTTTAATGTTTTTGTAACACACCACCTCTTCTGTACTCTGCTCTGCTCTTCTGTATTCGTTTTGTATTCTGCCATCTGGGAATGGAAGGTAGTCAAGGATGTTGTTGCAGAGTTTTCTGTGTTATGTAAAGTTAATTAAGAGCAGGGAATTTTCTACTCTTTATTCATTTCAATTTTTGCTTCTCTGTGGAAGGTGGGGAAGGAAACTGTGTTTAGGCAAGAATTCTGTTTTTGAAATAAATTACATCTCTGCTTGGAAATAAAATTTCCAATTTGGCATTAGAAATGTTGCTTAATTTTTACAATTTGAATTAAAAGTGCTGATAGAATGACAGCATGTAAACATAACACATCAGGGTTGTTGCAGAGTTAGTGCTGTTCATTACTGTGTTAAATAAGGAGCAGATGTAGGTGACCAAATGCAGTTTTGCCCAATATGAATGAGCATTACTGGAAAATTAACAAGAACAGAGCAACATGGAATGACTGGAAGGTGAGGAGGAAGAGCAGAAGTTGTTATAAGATTGGCATGTTATTGGCACTTAGATTGGTCACAAAGATCCCAGCACACAGCTTGTCAGCACACTCAAGGTGGTGGGCAAAGGAAATGAGAACAAGTAAGTCACAGAGGTGAGATAGGATGAGAAGACTGATCAGAGCTCATTCCTGCAGGGCACAAAAGGACACTTCTTAAACTTAGAAATGTGGCAGCCAATTCAAGAACAATGCAGGTAACATGACAAGAACAAAGTAGGTAGCATTCCTTGTCATCCAGAGTGTTGCAGAGCATTCCTGACAGATCTCCTCCATACAGGCATCATGGTGCCTGAATGCTGAGCATGCATGTATCTTGCTTATTTTGAGTATGTGCTGAGGGGTGTGGGGTGTGAGTGAAATGAGGAAATTTTAATAGCCACTGTTCCCTCCTATAAAGTTTCCCAATGACATATGCAGCACTGTGCAAACTGACACTGCAGAAACAAGCACTGCAATGTCCCAACATTACTGTCATTTCCTGCTTTGATCCTGAAAGAAGCATAATGCACTTTTGTACTTTGGTGAAACAGTGAAGAGCATAAAACTGCAGATTAATACTTAATTGCTTTAAAATCAGCACCTGCAATATTTTTCTAAACCTCAGTAGAGGGGTAGGTGTCTTCAATGTTTTCAGGCCTATTACGGCTCCTTCTGAAGCAAGCAGTGCAGATCCCTGCTCAATGACAGTATCCTAATCCCAGGTGGGTCATTGTTCTCTGTCAGGCTGCTAGTTCATGTTCCCAGGAGATACCACCTTGAGTGCTGCACTCAAACTGCCTTGTTCCTCAAGGTGTGATGGAGATGATGTACCAGTGGAATTTAAAAAAAAAAAAAAATTTTATTGTTGCTTTGCAATATAAAATGAATAAATCCATAATTACAAAGTCAGAGGCATAAAAAAGCTGAATAGAAGGAATGTGACATAACAAAGTGAAATCTTAAAATAAGAAACAACCAGAATCTTGTCTAAACGCCTTTTCTTGTGATACACCCCTTCCACAGCTCCATCTCAAACTGGCATTAATGGAGCCTGCTATAAGTCCAGTGCTAGGACAGCTGGAAAGAATGGTACGTGATCATTTAAATTTCAGTCCTTTACTGGCATATTAATCCATACAGATGTAAAGGATACAGAGTAAAAAGGGCTAAAGTGGAGAGCCCAGAGAACATTCTGCACTGCAGAGTAACAGAAGTATGGGTATGGTGTCTTTGTGCCACTAAATAGAGCAGCACTTCCAACCACTTCTTCTTGGGGACATGGATGCTGGCAGTGTTCACAAGGAGCAGTGTGGTAGGCTGGGGCAGGATCTCACAAGGAGCTGCATGAAGGGACAACCGCATCACTAGCATTTTTGGGGGAAAAGGGGCAGAAGACCCAAACAGCTGCTGAGCTTCCACTCAGAGTTCTCCCACATGGAAAGCCACCAACAAATAACTGAAAACAAAGCTGTCTGTATTGGTTTTATGAGCTGTTCAGGCTATTCTATAACCTGAGAATGCACCAAGCCAATTAACCTCAAGGGATGTTTGAGTAACATCTTCCTTCCCTGCCTGGAAGTGAGATCTTAAAGCATCCCTTTACAGTTCCTCCAGGAAAGGAGGCATTTTAGAACCTAACAGGTCATTCTGCTAGCAGTGAAGTTTCAACAGTCCCAGTGGGTAAGGATGTAAGCTGTGACCTCCTCTATTTTCTCTGAACTCACTGGTCTATCTTTGCATTTTCTGGGCCTTGCAGTGCCTGACTGAAGATGAGCTTTTTCAGCTGATCCAATTTGTCATCTCTTAAAGCATCTCGTATGGTGCTGAAGAAGCTGAAGTAGTGCTGAAAGTTGTGCATCATGAGCAGGACACCAGCCAGAAGCTCATTGCTCACAAGGAGGTGATGGAGGTATGCGCGAGTGTGCCTCTGACAACAGTAACAGGTACATCCTTCCAGCAAAGGACGAAAGTCATCATAGTATCTAAGGAGGAAGACACATTTGGTTACATCAAAAGTAAGAAGACCCACTCAGGTAACAAAAACTATCTAGTTACTCTATGGCCTCTACAGGGACCTGAGCCCTGAGGGCTGGAATCTAGTTTCTTTAAGATGCGTTGCATCTAAGCCCAGCACAAAGGACTCTTAAGAGCATTCATGAACTCACTGTGGAGCCAAGAAGCCACACAATTAAGTCAGAAGATAATTTTGACTGCATCACCACTAACAGCAGCAAGAAGGCTTATCTGCACCCTCCCTCACAGAAAAGCTGCAGCTCAAGACTTGTCAGCTATCAGTCTACAAAGAAGGAAGCTACCAGAAACAAAGACTCACAGAATAGTATTCCCTGCTACTGTGAGATGCACTATGCTCACAAAGCGGGGAGAGAATGGAACAAATCAACACAGTTGACTAATAAACTGTAAAAAACAAACAAAAAAAAAACCAGTTGAAAAATAGTGTTTCATAGCTGAGAATTTGCTATATCAGTGTTATTCTGCTTCCTGTATCTGTTGTAGTTTCCATGAAAATAAATAGGAGGCATTACTTTTGGAGCAACCTATGTATACCTTCTGAAAATGACTCAAGTTAGTTAGACACAGAAGAACAAAATGATCCTCAGGCAGCTTTTGTCAAACTAGTTTTCCAGCTGGAACATTGCTGTGGCCACAGTATTTCTACTCGATAAGCAATCTGAAAATCTCTGGCTTTAGATCAGGGAAATGATAGCACTTTCAGCCATACGCTGCTCTGTATATCAAGCTACAATCACTACCTGACACTTAATTCAATGTCTAGGTCTACTTTACTTCCTTCAATGGTTTTGTGTTTTATGAAGTTTCCCCTCCAGCTACTAACCACATGAAAATATAGAGGACAAATACAGAGGACAAAAACCATAGTATTTTCTGGTACAGCTGCAGGTTCTTTCCTCACAAACACAAATACCTTTTCTCCTTCAGAAATATCTCAAATGGTGTCATTTCTGGGTCAGCTTTGACAACCTCCTCCTTGTCTTCTTCAGTACCATTTTTCTCCAGGTCCTGGGCCCCATCTTGTTTTAAAACTGCTATGAAACAAAAAGACAACAGCATTTTATCAAGTCAGCAAGGGCACAGGAAGGGTTGTAATATCCTACATTAGAGTATTTCTGCCACTCTCTTGCCAAAAGAAAAAACTCTTGCCACAAGTTTCCACTTCCTTCCTATGATAAGCAACCATTTTTCTTTAATTATCATAGGTTAGTTAACAAAAATAGAATTTTAGATTAAAACAGCAAGAGACAAGTGAAAACTCATCTATCAGACTTAATGAAGAGTTAGAGCTGAAATAACAGCACAACTTTTTGCTGCTCTGCTGAACTGAATTCTTAATAAAATATTTCCAGTCTGAACAGCATGCTGACTAGAATGCAGTCACCTGAACAAATTGATTTTATTGGGATTTTGTTGGAATAAACAGGCTACTGATCTGCATTCAATCATTCTACTTTCCATTCTGTCGTCCAACGCAAAGATTTAGATTTTTTTTTTCTTGAACAATTGAAATAAAAGAAGCTGATAGCACTGACGCAGGAGATGTAGACTCCATATGTGTATATTCAGTAGTCTACCTTAAAAATAAAAACCACCCCATAATTTTGTAGGTTGGCATTTCTGTTGTTGAGCAAGAGATGTTTCTGGAAACATCAATAATATTATTTTTTGCACAATCCACATCTAGTGAGTGTTGCATAGGAACAGAACAAAGAGGTTATTCCTACCCATAATTTCTTTTGGTTTAATAATAAGATGAGATGAGGTAAACAACAACAAACAAAGAGAAGGGTTTAAAAAAAAAAAATGACAGCAAGCAGAAGGAAACAAGATGTTCTGTTCTATTTATCTGGTTTTGAATTATCCAGGCATGAAAAGAAACAAAGTTCCACCTAGGAAGAAAAATGTAAAATGTTTTTTTTTCCATATTAAAAACATTTACTGAGTCCAAAACAAGACAACTGCTTGAAGGATGTTTAACAGATGCTTTAATGGTTGCTATGCTTGCTCCCCTCTCACAGCCCAATGAGGTAATGCATTATGAACATATTTGGCTCTGTTCTCATATGAATACACAAACTGAGAGGAAAGTTACCCAGAGAAACAGCATCCCTAACTTTGGTCAGCTATAAAGGAAAAGGACTTCAAAACATACACTAAAAACAAACAAACACATATTCAGTTAAATGTAGAAATTGAGTATCATAGTAGAACTCCATATAAATTTGCCCAGCCTGCACTGCTAGCACTAACAGAAAAAATTTAAATGGTGTCAAACAGAGGACAGATACACAGTTCAGTCTACAGAAACAACTATTCAGTGTTAGAGAAATCATTAAACACATTTTACCTAACCAGACATTCAAATTTTGGCTGAGATTTCATGTTCCCCTCAATAAGTTTCACACCAAAACAGACCACTTTCAAAAGCAACAATGGATAGTTGAAATGCAGGTTTTCCAGTGGTTGCTGCACTTAAATCAAGGACAAAAGAACCCTCAAACACAGATTCTTTCAAAGCATGAGTTATGCTTGCCACACTACCAGCTGATACGGCAGCCTACCTGCTGCTTTGGGATCTGAATGGTAATCATAGCCAAACACCAAGGCACAGCCTCGCTCTGTCACCTGGAAGGGAAAGAAGCTCTCAAAGATGTCCACTCCCCTTTCAATGCACTCAAGCACCTCATCTGGTTTGCCCACACCATGAATGATTCTGTAAGAGATGCATAAGAAGATAAATTTTAGAATATCCCAAGCAGAAGCAAACAGATACCTCAAGGAAAAGAGGCATGTGGGACGCATGTAGGTTAACCCTGGAACTGCTAAACACAAGTCAAGTGCGTACAACAGTCTATCACTCCAAGCTCTGCACAATTCTATTTTCACATCCCTAGCCAATCTGGTACACAAGAGGCTTTTCCTCCTTTGCCATTCGGAAGACAGCACAATCACTCATTTACCAAGAAAAATCTCATTCCGCTCATGTTTGAAGTGATTTAGTTTCTCTCACACAAATACATTTACAAAATTCACCTAACAGCTGTGTTTTAGAACAGATATTTTCCTTAGTCATATTTCTGCCCTAAATAACTACCAGTACCAGATACACTGACCTCTTTACTTGGTAACTGCTGAGGAGACAGTCTGAAAGGACTTGGCCTAGACCAGCAGAAACAGCAGTAGATGTTTCTAGCAGTATACAGTTCTCTAGCATTTGAAGAACTGCCTTTAGCAAAATGCACTGAGGAGAAATGTAACCAGAAATAGAAAGAAGTTCCTTGCTTTTTTCTTCCTACCTCTCCACGCTCTTCTTAGTCAAGCCTGCCTTTTCACCCTCACTGATACCCTTTATTCTATAAATGTCTCTGATTCACCCAAACAAATGACTTGGTCAAAAAATTGGGCTGTAACATCCACTGGGATACAGTATGAGCCAGGAACAGCCCAGCTGGATTGCCATCAGTGGTAATAGGAATCCTGCTGTTAGCCAAATTTAGCTGGCAGCTTCCTTGAGGGCTGGTGAAGCAGAGGAGAACAGAGTGGTTCCTGCTCTCCTGCAGGTGCATGGCTGGGCTGACGGCAGTAAAAGCTAATGTAGGGCAGTGATCTAAACAGATAATTAGAAAAATACACAGGGGCTGATAAACGAAGTCACAAGGTGCCATTTTTAGTCACTTTTCTAAGTACTTGAATTAAATTGATGAGCAAAGAATATGGATTACTGCGGGAGTGTTTTCTGCTTCAGGCTCTTATGAAAGGGAGAAAATAACGTTCAGTAGTTAAAGCAGTAGTTCTGCATGTGTGATCAAAACCCTTGCTAGAATTTAACTTTATACAGTTAAGAACAAAAGTTTGTTCTTGCAAGGGTTCCACCCCTACTAGAAAAAAAGAATAAGAGATTTCTACAACCTTAGGTTCCTGAAAGGATCCTAAAGATCACATTCATAAGATCATTTCACTGACACAAAAAGCAGTTCCTTCTCAGGTGAGGGTGAGACTGTTTGGCTTCTGGAGAATTTCACATTGGAGTGGAACACAGCTGCAAAACAGCTTCTCCAGCCAGAACAGCAAGGGTGAAAGCAGGACTTTCTGACACTCATTCAAGGTACTTACAAGACCCCTAAGGCTAACCAGCTTTCTTTTTACATAGGGGTCACAAATACTTGTCTTACTCAGACAAGCAAACTATTTGACAGATGAGACAGATGCTCTGGTAGCCACTGAGGTTACCTGAGCAGATTGGACTTAATGCTCTCAGGGGATCTTTTTAAGTAGTTAAACCAGACAAGATGGCAACAACACAGCAAGGCTTCTAATTGTCAGGGAAATTCAAACCCTGGGCACCCCTTAGCACGAACAAGCTGCAGCACCAGACAACACTTTCACATTTTCCTTTCTTTTGAACACCACCTGTTCAAACGTATGCTCAGATAGCAGAGGACACCACAGCTACAGAAAAACTAAAGGGCCCTTGTCATTCCCTTCAGGAAATGATGAAAGAAGCCCCCATACAAGAGCAGCAGCAAGAGAGGAACAACCCAGAACTCATACAAAAGTTAGCAAACTCAACACAGTTCTAAGAAATCCCTCCACATTTGAACGATGAGTAAGTATTAGCACATCTTTTCTGGAAGCCTTTAGTCACTGTTAGTGATTGGGAAGAGTCAAGAATGCTGAAACTATTGTGTAGACACTGACATGGATCAATCAGATGGGCATAACCAACCACATAGAATATACTACAGTTCTCACACTATGCCAATCCAGAGAATGCAATTAGTTTTGGCCAGGCTGAACGAGCTCTGGTAATTTACAGGCTCAGCACCTCAGGTACTAGGTCAGAGCCTGCTGGTCATGTAAGCACTTAACTGATTCTGTCAGCACCCCTCTCTACTCTTCTCCAGCTTAGCCTGTATAGAACTGCAAACCTGACCTTTTTTCTTAGAAGAGGTCCCTGTAGAATAAGTTGATAATTTTTTTTCTAACTGAACCTACAGTAAACCATGGCATCAGAGGCCAAATGCAAACAAGTTCAGACAATAGCCTAGACATATCTCATCTTTAATTTTTCCTCAAGAAAGCAAAGAAGCCCTGAACTCAAATTTGACTACTCTCTAAATGCGGGGAATGCTCATATCTAGAACGTGAGCACAGCTTGGTGTCAGTTGCAACTAAAAATTGAAACAGCAGTTGAAGTCTGCAGTCTGACAGTGGCCTGGCACACACACACAGCACTGTGCAAGACAGTGACTATTTCTCACAGTGATATTGCACAGCAGCCTTGTAAAAAGATGGGTGAACTTCTTGGGATGTCACCCATATAACTTACCTTGGTTTATCCTCTGGCAGCTCTGCTGTCACAGAAGAAATCAGGTTCAATTTGGTCTCCTTTGCCATGGCATGTCCCTGGAAGCCATCTAACAGAAAGCCACCCACAGGTCTCTTGGCAGTCTCTCTGGCTGATCTGAGCCTCTCTTCCAAGACATCTCCACCTTCAATTGTCCCAAACATTACACTTCCTTGTAGTTCCTGGCCCAGAAGAAAGCTACAAGTGTTAGAGAGTTCTGCCAAGGACATGCAAGATCTCACAGCACAGACTACAGATGCTTGCTACCTAAACTATGCATTCACAGGAACTTGGAAGAGCCACAGTGATTCATCCTATGTAAGATGAACCCTCAAACGACACTGTGAAGTCCAACTGGGAGGTAGAAAGGGATTAGGAGAGAAAAAATTCTGTTTCCAGCCTCAACATTAACTCACTGAGAATTTCAGAGCCGTTCTTACGCCTCCCCGCAGAAAGTAATAACAACAGATGATCTTTGTACACAGCTTTTTGTAGGTGTCTCCTCAGCACTCCATGGCAGTGCAGAATACAAAGTATGTTCAACCATCTTGGCTGCCAGACAACAGAGCTCACATTCTATTGCCTTTCAGGGGATGTCAGTATTGGTTCCTGCAGCCACTTTCCTTTGTAATGCACACCTGGATAATTTGTTCCCTTTCACCAAAAGGGAAGGAAGTTTTAAACCATCTGGAGAAAATAAATGATAAAACTGGCAAATTCTGCCAAGTCCTCCTTCACCTGGAATTGAACAGATTTCAGAGAAAAAAAAGACTTGTCTCAATCTGAGTGAGAAGATCCTACTTTGGCAGTGTACATAGCATGAAGGAAATTGAAAAGAAATGCACTACAGTCCAAAAGCAGAATAATATAAAAAATAGAATTCTCTCAAACTAGTAGAAATTGTTGTTCTGTAGCTGGAGACAAGTTATTAAGAGATGAGAAAGGCAGAAGGAAATCCTAGTGCTACTGATCTTACCTCCTCCAGGACCGTCACCTGCACATCCTCTGATATGTACATGTGATAAGATCTCCTACTAAATCACATCCTGGAACTGGCCCGCATTGCAGCACAGGCCAAAAAGCAGCTGCAGTGCTACAGTCTTGACATCTTTGAGACCTTACCGGTGCCTTTTCCAGCAGCTGAAGGCATGCATCCAGGAAGGAAAGCGATCTGTCCACAGACTTCTTGGCCCTTTTTTTAGAAACTTCTCCAGAAATAGTGTCTCCATCAGCAATGCACTGGAACCAGTCTGGCTGGATAGCCCGCTGTATGTCCATGAACTTGGAAGCTGTCATTTCCATGCGTCCTGAGCTACCCCATAGGGACACTGTCTGCCAAGAAAAAATAGGGATAAAAGACCATGCAAAGGTTAACAGATCTCAAGTGTCAAAGGAGAGAAGTCTGGTGAGACATCAGATACTGGAAAGACACTGAAGGGATAAGTTCTAGCATGGGTCAGATATTCAGTTGCCCTTGACACCCAATGAGTGAATGACAAATGACTAAGTTGAGATTTCCAGGATACTCTTTTATAAAACCATCAAACACATGCAGCACAGCAACTTCTCAAGGTGTTTGGAAGTCTCTGAGATGGAACAGCTGGCTTTATCACTCAAATTAGTGGCAGAATTGGAAAAAAAAAAATATGAAAAGAATTACAGATTTAGGTAATTCCTTTCCTGCACAGGAGAGGACTCAGGCTGCTTCCCAACAGCAAAGAATATGCAGTGCAAAAAACTACATGGTGAAGCTTATCCTGCCATTCATGGTAAGTTTTCATATCCAAGCAGGATCCAGAACTGACCATATCTAAGCAGGTACCAGGAATTGTCCCTACAGGCCAGGCCACAGCAACCAGCACAAACCATATGCACTGAGTGGGAAATTGGCACATCTCTAGGATGGAACTGGCAAAGGCTCACAAGAGTCCTGGGTTACTGACATCTCTTCCTGCAGAAATATTATGTTCTTTCCCTTTGTGGGTTTGTATCAGACTACAACTACAAAGACAGGATTGCAGGTTTACTGCTAATCAGTGGCATCACTGCAAGCCTGTTCAGCACTTAAGCCAAAATGCATGTTTTTTCCTATACTGCCATACTAACACAACAGCACAAGATTCCAGAGATCTCTGTCCTATCTGAATCATCACTTAACTGTTCAGGAAAGACACTTCCAGTAAGAAAATACCCAGATTTATTTAGCTGGAGGTATGAGCATGCAAGTGACACTTTTCTTACTACAGAGAGTTCTTTTTCTATATAGTGCATGAACATCATCTTGTTGCTTTCCAGACACACCTATACAGATGTTGGGACAGACTGGCAGCTCTTGTTTGGGAACTTTAAGTGGATTCTTTCAACCTTTACAGTTACTGTACCTTGTTGGTGTTGTAGCCAGAAGGACAGGGAGCAACTGGATCTTGAAGGGAGCAGTACAGCACTGTATCTGGCATACCTGGGAGCAAAGCAACAGAGCAGAGCTTCGTGAACCAAAACAAAGCTAATGTAAAGGGATGGTGTGTGAATTTGCAAAATGGAATATGTTTTCCTCCCACAAACAATCTCAACAAATCCTCCTCTGCAGTTCTTCTACGGGACAGATAAAGAAAAATATTGCTCAATTAATCTCTCAGTACCAAAGAAGGTAGCCAGACTTCTTCCTCAGCTCTACCAGCTGCAGGGAACAGAGCACAGTACTGGGATGAAACAAGAAACAACAGCCATTGTTTCTGCAAGCTGCATAGCCTCTTAGATTTTTTTTTTTTTTAAATTATTCTTGATTAACACACCCACTACTAAAATTTGCCAGACACAGTAGCCACCTCACTTGACAGGTACACTGGGAGACATCTGAAAATCTGAATGGAGTAACAGCCTCAAGCCTAATACTGTAAAGAAAAGACAACATATTGTGGGAGATCAACTATAGAAATGAGAGCCTCATCTCTGCTAGACCAGAGGTTTCTAATGTCGTACATAAAGTTCGTATGTCTCAACGCCATGGTTTTCTCTTCACAGACAGGCACTGAAATTGGTAAAAGTCTCCAAGAAGTTTAAGATAGAAGGGACTTACAATTTTTCTTGATGGAATAAGCAGTCCCAAGGCAATTATCAAAAGCCGCATGTAAATCTCCTTTGGAAATCCAAGCCAAAGCTTTGCTTATGTAATGAAATAAATATGTTCAAAATCTTGAAGTACTTTTTTTTTTTTTTTTTTAAACAAACAAACTCTGTTCAATAGATTTCTATCTTAACAACTGTCAATGTTACTGAAACTAAATAGACATTCCACCACTTCAGCAGGATTTACCACATAGCCATTATAGCCTTAGATACCTGGACAAAGCATCCCTATAAGCCTGCTGACCTGGCTGACCATCCTACCATTCTTTGAGCTACCTCCCCAAATAGAAATACTGACTATGAATACAAATGTTCATTCAAGATACCAACTCCGCTTTCACTGCACTCTCAGGTTCCTATGTTACCTGAACCCCAAAATAGTGATCTTGGTGATGCACTGCATGTGGGCAGTCCTTTACCAGTCCCTAATGACTGACAGGGAAAAAACCTAGGACTGTTGCACACACGCAAACCACGGCTTTGCTCACTCTTAGCACCAAGCTAAAGGTTTCATTCATGAACTGCTCCAATAATAGAGTACAGGGACTGATAAAAACTACAGAGGGTAGGGTGTTTTGTCTGTTTCTCATACTGGATGAAGATTTTAAAATTTTCTTCCTTAATTATTTTTCATGCTTGATTAAGACTTTCTGTTGGCTTAAATGAAACCAACTGCATTACGATAACCAAAAAACGTGTTTATTAGAAGATGGATACTTTCAGAGAATCATTTAGACAGTTGTAGGAGGTTATCTTCAAGGCAATGTTCTCTTCACACGACTAGTTAGACATTGCACTTAGCAAGATCCTTTTGTAGCCCCCCCACTGGCAGGGGCTACTGTAACTTTTCTTTCAGTTCTAGTCGCAAATTTTGATTTGAGCTTATTCTAGTCAGTGTTAAAAATTCTTCTGCAAAGGCTAGGGGAGGAAAAAGTTGTGCTCTGTTTGATGGATTTCTGGCCATACTGTTGATAACAAAATATTTTAAGTCCTCCTTAGATTCACTTTGACTGAGAAAAAGCATAAATGTGGAAAGCCTGCACCTAGGTGTTCACATCTAAAGACACACCAGTTAGATCCATCTCTCTCCAAACATGCATTGTCCCTCATTAGGGACTGGGTCTGTACATGTGGCTCGTAAGCACACAAGGTCGGGATTCACATGAAAGCTTCCATTTCCAAAAGCTTAACTAGAAGCCTGGCAAGCCCCATAAAGCAAGTGCACCCCTGAGTATTTACATGCCGCTGTTTACTGAACTTTCCCTCTCTGCAGTTTCTAATTGGTTCCATCTATTTTTCTTCACCCAGGTAACTAGTGATATGATGGGAGAATGGCCTCAAGTTGCACCAGGACTGGCTCGGGCTGGATATGAGGAAACTTTTGAGGAGTGGTGAGGCGGTGGCACAGGCTGCCCAGGGAGGTGGTGGAGTGACCGTCCCTGGAGGTGTTCAAGAGCTGTGTAGATGTGGCATTGAGAGATGTTTTAGTGGGCACGGTGGGGACAGGCTGACGGCTGAACTAGGTGATCTTTCTGGTCTTCTCCAAACTTAATGATTCCAGGATTCAAAAGGTCGGCTATCGGGCATTTCCCCTCGCCTGCTGCTGACAGCAGTTTATCACAGCGGACAAGCTTGTGTCATACTGCTGCCTTCTCACACACATTCGTATCGTTCCTACTTCCTCGTCCACGCGGACTCCAAGCTCCCGGCTGCTGTAAGCAGCAAACACCCGCACTTTACCTATAAACTTCGCCGCTCCCTCCTTGTACTCCTCCAGGACGTCGTGCAGCTCGGCCCTGCAGCCAGACACAGAGACGCATTAGGCAACGCAGGGCGCTGCGGCAGAGGCAGGCGCGGAGCCGCGCGTCCCGCCGCCGTTACTCACATGGTGGGCAGCGTGAGCTGTGCCACGGCAGGCACGCCGCCGACCTCGCGCAGCGTGTCGCGGGTGAGGTGCGGCGCCGTGCCGGTCCGCGTGTACAGCAGGCAGCCGGGCAGCGCCAAGGCGGCCGTCCCGCTCCGGCCCAGCCCCGCCAGCGTGCCCAGCCGCCCGCCCGCCGCCCCGCACAGCTTCACCCGCATGCCGAGAGCCGCGGCCGGCGGACGGAGGAAGGAAGACGCGAGCCTCGCCGCTTCCCCCGCTCTCCCCCAATCGCCTCCCGCTACGGCATCGACGAGCGACGGCGGGCGGGCGCCGAGTTGCCATGGCGGCGCCGCGGAGCACTGTGGGCCGGCGGGCGGCCATGGCGCCGGCGGGACGGAGGTCGCGGCTGTTCCGCTGGCGGCGCCTGGCTGCCCCGACCGGCCCGCAGGTAATGGGCAGCGGACGTCGCCGCCGGGCGGCCGCTGCCGCCGAGCCGGGGCGGAGCGCGTTGGAACGACGGCGGCTAATCAGAGCGGGGAGCGGCGCGGGGACCGCCGGGGGGCGCCATGGCGCCGGGTGGCCGAGAGGCTGCGCCAACGTTTCTAACGGGCGGGGCGGGGTCAGTGCTCGTGGTGGGCGGGTGACGCGCTTCGTATTTTGATGACTCTAAGGTTTGTTTTATCTTGTTCCCAGGACAGGTTTGACTCCGACAGCGCGGAATACTGGATGAAGGTGCAGTAACCCGGCTGCCTTCCGCGGGAGCTCAACCTTAAGTGGGGTCGCCCCGGCTCCATGCGGAGCTGTGGGTCAGGCACAGGTAGAAGTGGCACGTGGAGCCTTTCTGTGGCCACCTGATGCCGAGGAGGATTGTGTGAATTCTTCCTGGCCGGTACTGGCTGTGACAAAAGTTTCGTTGCTGGTTGCAGGGCGGTAACACAGCGAGTCCTCGTTCGACCCCCAGGGGGCTGGGCGTTTGCATTCCCCCAGCGCATTCTCCAATGGCTGTGATTGGCGGTAATTGCCAAATGAGCGCTTGGCGCTTAATCATTTCTGAGTGAAATGTCTCCACTCAATCAAGAGCAGCTGGAGAAACGTGTTTCAAAAGAAATCCCTTCCTTTTAACGGCCACACTGCCTTGTGTGACAGTCCCGCTGATGCTTGTTCTCTCTTGATGAATATACATCAACCCTTAGAAATGTTCGCCTTTCTTTAATTTAAAGAGAGTGGAGCAAGCCTCTGAGTATGCTGTTTCTGAAGCTTTTTCCCTTCAAAAGCCGAGGTACCCGCAAGGGCTTTGTGATACTGCAGTGAGGCTAGAAACGGTGGAACAGCTGCAAGAGCACGATGAGGCCTGTATGGAAGGTGAGCCATATGCTGCCTAGGATGAACCCCTCTTGATCCAGCACCCTGCTCTGGTGTGGACAGACTGCTAGAAAGCTGTCGACCAAAGAAACAGTTAACAGTAAAGATCTGAACCTTTCATCTAAGGAAAAAAGGCACAAAAGAATAATTTGGTAGAGTTTAACATAGTTCAGTTAGCAGACTTAGAAGAGTGATGAACTCTCCACCTCCTGGAATTTTCAGATCGAGAGAGGGATGAATGCTGCCTTTGAAGATCTGGTCGAATACAAGTTACTGGCCCACAGGAAACTGGATGAACTTAGCTGGCATATTCTTGACAGCAGGCCAAATGTGAAAATGGATTGGCCCTGTGTAACTTCCACATCTATGAATAATTGTGTGGGCTTGCTTTAATTCCCATGAAGCATTTTGCTTACTAATTAACTAACTAAACACTCCCTTTGCAATGTCTGCAGCCACAAGTGCTTACTGACATTTAAAATTAAAACTGTGGTACATTATAAAATGATTTCCCATCAATAGTGGAAATATATCTGCAGTGTAAAGAGCTGGTAGTGATCTTGCTTTCCTCCTGTTTCTTTATTCGTCCCTCTATGCTCATTTTGCTAGGTTTTTTATTTTTTAAAATAGCTACCAACCTCACAGGATTGTTCCAAGCACAACTGAAAGCCATTTATCTAGAGTCTGTTATTAGAGTAATTAACAGTATTATCTACATGTATCTCACTTTGCAAAGAAAAGTACAAAAAAAAGTAAAGTGCTGAACTCATTTACTCTGGTTATGAGAAGCTTATATTTCCCAGTCAAAAAAAAAAACTCCTCTGAGTGATAAGCAGTTTTTCTCTCTTCTTTCTCATATCAGATATACTTCCTTGTTCCTGAGCTGGAATGATAGATTATAAGAGAAAACGAAAGTGATTTGAAGGACAATAAACATAGGATTTATTTTTTCTTTTTTAAAAAAAAAAGTTATTTTTTAAGAAAGTCTAAAAAAGCATTTTTGCCTTTGAATGAGAAAGGTTTGCTTGGAATATCACCATTTTGAGTTAGAACTAGAGATTTAGAGCATCTGCTTCCTCCTTTTACACGCCTGTTATAAGTGTGACTTACACTGCAGCAGCTGGCAAGATTCCTGCCCTTTGCCCATCCTCACCACAGTTTCACTAATGCAACTGCTCCTGATGCCTTGTGGTTTACTGTGTTCTGCTTCAGGAACAGCCCAGCCACCCATGCAGTGAGAACAGGTGGCTTGTTGAGGCAGCACTTACATTAACTGTCCTTACTTTGATTAGGAGTTCTGAAAAAATGATGTTTTAGATTTTTTCCCACAGGAATGGAGATGCAAATAAAGTCTGCAGAAGAGCTTTATACCCATTGTGCATTTGGCATCTCAGTGAGGAACAGCAAATCCATCATGGATGCATCCCTGTAGTTAAGTTGCAATCTTCTGAGTAAAGACAGTCCCTGCTGAAGCTTGCCACATGACAGATTTTTAATCTAGACTTAACAGATGTTACTGGAGCTGTGGTATTTGCAAAGGTTAACCTGTACACTTAGAGCAAATATTTGTCCCAACAGTGATTCTTTTTGTATTTAATGTATGACAACATTGGCTGTACACATGGAAAAAATCTTAAGTGCCTGCAAGTGCAGTGGTGAAACACTGTAAAGCTGTCTGAGTTATGAATTACTTTGTGTGCATTTTCTCTCCTTGATAAATGGTATTATGATCACTGGGGTGATCTAGATGTCCAAAGAATCTTGTAGGAAAAAATGAGGTGCAAAAGAATTCATTTGTGATCCATGTGACAGGGAAGAAGTTTGCCACCATCCTATTCTTTTATAGATCAAGAATATGAGAACAGAATTATTAGTCCTATTCCATTTTCTGTCGTAGATCAGCTTCCAGTCATTTTAGAATGTTTTCCGAGCACGTGATATAACTGTCCCAGAGAAAGAGTTTTGCTAGTTGGCACTTACCTGTATGTTTTTAAAGTCATCAATCTCTTTCTTTGTGATAGCTCGAGAGCTGCTCAGTAGCTGGACTAAGTCCAAACTGCAACTGCAGCTGACAAGTGATGGAGAAGCAGAAGTTGGCTCTGTCCCGGAAAATCCTACAGGCCTTCTGAAGTATAAGCGCTTTGATGGTGAGAGCACAGCAAAATAGCTCTTGGCTCATTTGTAGAGGATGTACTGGGGAAGGGAGATGGGCCTCGTGGCTTTCGGACTGACAACTGCAAGTCACATTATGGGTGAAGATTTTTCTCTCCCAGCTCTTAAAGCAGCTGGCCTTAGGGCTGCCCAATTGTACCTCATAAACATGTGATGTCTCCCTTGTAAAAGAGAAATTATATTTCTGTTGTTTGTGGGTATGTTCAAGGCCTGACAGATTTATACAGCAATTTGAGATGCTTGGAGGCAAGGCAGTAAAAAATGGACAAAATGTTGTTATTGCTCTAGTGCATTCAGTGGAATATACTAGATTAATCCTCACTGGGATACGTGGAATGCAGTCAGTATGTCTGCTTTCATCAGAAATGCATTCACAGTCTGGAAAAAGTGATCCTTTTAATTATATTAAGCTTTGTAATCTGATGCAGGGATTTATTCATTTCAGACTAGCTTGAGATAATCTGAATTCCTCATTTCAGACTTGTACAACTATCTGGAACATGAATTGGAAAGTTCTTCTGTCCAAGAGTACCTACAGCATCTTTTGCAGAGTGAAGTTGTGAATTGTGGGATAGTGGAAAACCTTAGACTTGAAGACATCAAGGGAAAACAAAAACCTGCAGATCCACGAATAACCATGGAGCTCAGACACAAGCAGGTGTGCATGCAAAGCAGCACAGTTAAAAGGGATAAGACTGAAGATTATAGGATTAGAGTAAATGCTCAGTGACACTTGTTAGGTAGTCTCTCCCAGACCACAGAAATCCCTGACTTGGAGGCAGACGCACTGTAATACTCTTCCAGGATTTAGCTGAATAGTTACTGTGCTTCAGCTTGCATGTTAGCGATTCATAGTAGCATTCATGTCAGCTTTCACTGTTCAAGTGAACTTTCACTATTTCATCTATTCAGGTTTTCCTCCTTTCTGAAGACTGACAGGAGAAGTCAACATGACTCTCACTTTTGAGTATGCTCCCAACAAGTAATACTGGTTTAATCCCACTCTCTTGAACTGAGTTTTTTGGTGATCTCAAAACAACCACTGCCAGCTACAGATAGCGTAGCATGCTTCCCACCCTGTTTATTTGCACTGAAGCTCATATTCTTGAGGCCTTCTCACCTGTTTTGTTTTTTGCCAATATCCTCCTTTCCAGGTAAAAGAAAATCGACTGAGGCGTCAGAAGGCATTAGAGCTTCAGAGACAAGAAAAGGCTCTGAGGAAAGCCATTCTGTGTGAGGCCAAGCTTCAAATACAGGAGGAGGACAGAAGGAAGGCCCTGAAGGCAAAAAAGGAGGAGGAGGAGATCCGGAGGGAAATGGTGAAGCTACGAAAGGAAATGGCTGAGAAGAGGCAAACTATGGCAGAAGCATGGAGAATGTAAGAGCTGGGGGGAGGGCTTAGAAAGCACCATATGGAAGAGCAACTCTTTTTAGCTTCTTCAGGTAAACGTAAGAGAAGTGATGGTCTCAAAGGAAACAGTTTTGAGTTCTCTTCAAACACTCCCCACACCTTTTATCCCTCTGTTACTTCAGTGGCAGAATTTATCATTAGAGAGAAGATGGGCTAAAGATGTTGTTAGACTCCCTCCAGCCATTACCGTTATGTAGACTGAAGCACAAAGCAGGAGTGTGTTTGCAATACCATGCATTCTCTCCATCAATTTCACAGCCATAGCCAGCCTTATTAGTGTTTGATACACCATGAAAGCCAGTATACTAAAGTAAATGAATGAAATGCTGGCCTACGTAGAATAGTCTATGTTGAAAGCCTTAATAGACTTCTTCTCCTGTAAAAGTATAAATTACGTTCTTGGCTAAGAATTCTGCAGAGAGAGGTTCTGTGCTTCAGCTGAGCTTGGATTGCCACAGAGATATGACCTGTAGAGATGCCATTTATTTACTCAGGCAACCCTAACATCCTAATTCTTCTCATATGGTTCCATTTTTGAGCTCTTTTTAGTTTCTTCTTCATGTTTTATTTTGGAAATGCTCCAGACTGCATAATCATTGAGATCCCAAACCTTGACTGGCGCTGTTCTCTGTGAAGACTGAGTTAAATAGCTTTCTAAGTGCTACTGGTCATTTTCTTCAATTGTCAGATTGACAAAAAGTGGAGTAAGACCTGTACTATAGTATTTTCTTCATTGTATTAGATCTCAATGTTTGCTCACTTTGCAGAGAACAGAAAAGGGAACAAGAAAAAAGCCAGAAACTGTCAATGCAGGAGGTATCTATTAATGTGTCACCACCCATGGACCTGAAGAAAGACGACCAAGAAAAGGAGAAACAGAGGAAGGTTCAGGAGCTGCTGAGCAGAATTCATACCAGTAAACAGAGAGTAAGCATCACCATCCTTTTATCTAAGGCTCTGAACTACCTGCCTTCAGCTACTCTTTGCAAAATTGAAATAAAAAGTCGTGGTTATCAAATCTCTTTTTACTTTTCCCAAGTTCTGCTTGTCATATCAGAAAAGTAGAAAACCAGGGCGAGAAGTAAGACTTAGAAGCAAGAAATCTTGATCCCCCATACCCACTGCGTCTGGCTCTCAAGTGTACCCTGTGGGAGATTTTGCTTAAAACTGTGGAAAAGATGTCACATCCAAAACAGTTTCAGGAAGGACGTAAAAAGAGGGGGAGTAGTGGTGCAAAAGGGAATGAGAAGATACTTTAAAGATTGCCTTGAAAACCCTAGTAGAGGAACAAGGAGTAGGAAAGAGAAGTACTGACTGTTTAGGCTGACTTGAGCTGTGTCTCTAAGAGTTGAAGCGTGCCACTGTATCTAGAGTAATGGCATCTTTGAGGATCCACTCCCACTAGGGTCACGAGGATATTCTGCAATATTGCAGCAGCTTGGGACAATCATGCAGAGTTCAATAATCCTTAGTAGGAAGCTATTTCTTTTACCCTTGTTATTGACTGTTAATACTCTATTTTCAAAAATATCTCAAAACCAAAGGGAAATAAAAACACAAGTCTCCCAGAATCCTGAATCCACCAACCTGTGATTGGGAGATTAAAGAAAGTGATTGGATGAAAAGCCATACTAATTCACTTCAGCGGTAGCTTAGCCGTAGGAGTGCTTTCCATCTGAAATCAACTACACTGTCTTACCAAGATAGGTATATAAATGGGGGATTTCCAACATTCTCCTTTGCATTACTCAATGTCATCATCCTGAGAGCTTTTAAAAAAGGAACAGGGATGCACCTGCTCATTTGTGATACTGCAGCCAGCTGTGGGTTAAATATCTACTTGTATCACATCCTTGCAATTCAAGAGATATTTTTGTACGGAATAATCTTATATGGATACTTTAGTAAAGGAGATAAACTTTCCCACGTTCAGGTATGAATGCCATCCACCATGGAACATTCTTAATTAAAAGAGCAGTCATAATTAACATCATCTATTTTTTTCTCCCACAATCAAAGAATCCCATAGCTTTTATAGTGATTATCCTCCAGCTTGCTTCATCTACCCATGCACCAACTTCAAGCTTGGCTGCTGTTTAGCAGTACACAGTCTCCTTCCAGCACAATTGAAGTTGTGAAGATAAGCCTAAATGAAACTGCAGAACAATTTAGAGCTGGCATAATGTGAAAAGCCACTGTTTAGCTGAGCTAAGCTATAGTGATTCTGATTATTTTCTTACAGCAGAAAGAAATAGCTAATGCATTGACATTTTGTCCTTTTTCTAAGTCTCCATTTGGAGATTTCAGTGACCGAGAAGAATGCAATTAATACAAGCATTATCACAAAAGGGGAACAGCTGAGTCCTGTGACTTGACCCACTCGGAGGATCAAAATGAGCAGTGTCTGCAGTGGCAGGGCTAGAATTATGGAGAGATTAGATAGCAAATTTCTATTCTGTACAACGTAAATCACCCCCAGAGGCAGACACTCTAATTACACAATAGAGGAATGGTTTTGCTTCCTTCTGGAACAAAGGTGAGCTTAGGTCATGTTATAAATCTATACTAGGAAGTATCTCGATTTTCGTCTAAGTTAAAAAAAAAATCAAATATATCCATGGACTAGTTGCTGAATGCTTTCAGATGCACCCTTGCCTACAGAATCTTTGACATTTTCTAAATATTTAAACATCTGTCTTGTTTCTAGAAATTGTTTCCATATTCCTTACTCATTTTATTCCTTTACATTTTGTGAACTGAGAGCATTTCACTCAAAAGCATTGAGCCCCATGATATTTTTAGCCCACTTTTTGCATTAGACTACATCTGTTCTGCATTATTTACATTTACCCTCAAGGTATTTGTAGGAAGTGGGAATTATTAAAAAATATCTCAAAAGCAAAGTCAGATAAGGGGAGTGATGGAAAAAGGATTGGCATTTGTGTTGGTCAATATCTTGGTCACTGTTCATTTATTTTTTAAACTCTCCCATGCAGTGCATGCAGCGGCATTTCTCTGCTTGGTTCAGACTCATTCTGGAGCACAGAATTAAAATGGAGAAAGCCAGAGCTCTTGCTGACTGGAAATGCCAACAGAAGGTCCTGCGAGCATGGCGAAACTACACATGGGCCCAGAAAGTAGAGCGGGAGACGCAGCAATTAGAAGTTCATCTGCAAGATCAAAACAGGTAGTGGCCGTACACTGAAATTCCTCCTACTGCAAGTATTCCAGGTCAGAGGGTTGTTAGGCAACAGGAGGAAAACAGCAGTTTGTTGAGAAAATTTCTGCATTGCCTTCTACAGTCTTCTAGAGGCCCTGTGGCACAGATGCAGAGGAAAGCAGAGAAAAAAAAGAGCACTGTTCAACACGTCTGTAACTCTCTCTCTAGGTATCTTTCCTGGAAATCTCACTCTGGCTGGCTCAGGGCCCCAGCTAATATTAAAAATATATTAATCAGGAATAAATATGGCTTATCTCCTACTTCAGTGGTATTAGAGTCAAAATCATTTTGCCCAGTACCTTTCATTAAGGAGGCTGTTGGATGAATTCCCTGTCAGCAGGCGAAAATTCTGTTCTTGCCCAGGCTCTGGGAGGCTGTGTGGCAAGGCACTGGTGCTTCCCCCTCTCTGCAGCTGTCAGGAAAACAGAATGCCTCTTTAGCAACTATTCTGCTGCCCAAGGATGACAGGAAAATGCAAAATGCCAGGGAGGGAGATTTACTTCAAAGTAATGGGCATTACCTCTGCTCTCCCATTCCTCCTTGGAGAAACAGCACAATCTTGGAAGGCCTTCAGAGTTAAATAACAAAAAGACTCGGGAGCCTGATGACATGGCCTGGCCTGCTGGACTCGATACAGTTGTTCCAGGTGGGCTTTGGCAGATGCCTCACTCCTATCATAACACAAATGCTTTCTCATTCAGGAAAGACCAACTGTCTGCAGAGCATAATCAGCGGCGCCTTTTGCGCTGCTGCTTCCTGGCATGGCAGCACTGGAGCCAAGCAGAGGCAGAAAGGCGAGAGCTGCAGCTCAAGAGAGAGGAGACAAAGAGGAAGATGGCACAGCTGTTGGAGGCAGTGTCACTGGGGAAGAGTGGATTGAACAGAACGCTGGAGGTTAGCAAGTCTGAGACAGCAAAAGTAAACCAGCATCAAGTTTTGCAGCAAGATGAGGTAAAGTCTTGTGTGTAATTTTGTCTGTTGGCGTTGCAGTACATTCACAAAGTACTTCTGTGCAATCTGAAATAAAAAGCACACTGTTTCAGAGGAAGGCTTCTTGTCCAGGGTGACCTCCCAGTACCTACCTACAACTGTTCAGGAGGGAAGCTGTTAAAGAGCAGAGGCAACTGTGAAGGACAGTGGATGAGTTTTAAAAATAACTAATTTCTTATGCTGCCAGAGAACAACCCTTCATGTACTGTGAGTCGCAGTCCCACCCCCAGATCACTTTTGCTGAGAGATTAGTTACATCTTTAATGCCTGCTTAGACTGAAAAAGAATAACACTTGACTGCATGACAAGAGATTTTTGTCATGTCAGTACAGCGCTCTGGCTTTTCAGAAGCGTGGGGGAAAAAAAGGTGTCAGTGAGTATCTAAGGGTAATGCACATCGCAAGGAGATGGGAGGATCAGAGGTTGCTTCCTTAAATTTCTCTTTTGCTGGATCAGAGCCTGCCTTTCCTTTCTGTCTGTAAAACCTATAGGGCAGGACCAATATGCAAACTGACACATTCACACATGTTACAAGTCAAGCTTTTCATTTGCTTGAGTGTCAGTGAAATCTGATTTTCTACTGTGTTTATATTATCAGAGTAGATCAGTACTTTCCTTTGGATGCTTGTATAAAGGTTGTGCTGGAAGGATTGGACCAAATTTGGAGTTTGACCTAGAAATCAGTAAGCAAATCAGGTATCTCATGCCTCTTCTGAATAAAAACAGGTGCCAGAGGAGGCACAGCCTGATTCCCCCCCATGCACCAGTTTCATGGTAATATTTTATCAAATCTGGAGAAGAGGCAAGATATAGCTGCCCTTTGTAGACTATTCTCCCACCTGAAAGGGAGCTGTCAAGTAGATCAGCCTTGTAGATCACTTGTATTTCATTTTCAACAACTGTTTTGCCTCAGTCTGAGCATTGAAAAGAGACAGCAAAGTCCAAAAGGGAGTGTGGTAATTGAGAGATGAGCTAACCCCTGAGAAATCAGTTGTCCCACACTGTGCTCCCTAACAAATAGAGATATATTCCTGCCAGAGCTCTTCCCTGATCAGGATTTCCTCCTTGCAGAGAAATGGCACGGAGCTTCTTAAAATATTTTTTCCCAACATCCTCCTATTTTGTGCATAACCAGGCCCCTCTGCCCTGGCTAGGAACTAGATAAAGATTTCATAGCTGAGGTTGTTCTACTTCTCAGGAATCTTGCTAGATTTTCATTAAAGTAATACTGTGTATCACAGGCAGAAGAAAGTTTGCTTTTAATTAATGCCAAATCTTCCTTCTTGTTTTGATTTTTTTTTTCTCGCCCCATTCCCCAGCCACCTAAAACATGCCTCATGCAGGAAGAACCTGACCAGACCAGAGACCACTCTTGTGGGGATACTGCTCACACATCTCATTCTTATAGAAAACCCAAGTTTGCCTGGCAGATCACCCTCAAACATGCAGCCCTGAGTGCCCAGGACCAGGTTATGTACAGGAATGAAATAGCTGGTCTTCCCAAGCAGTTTCAAGCACCCAACTCAAAGACAGCTCCTGCTTACGGTAGCTGTTTTGAGTACCGTCACGCCTTCCAGCAACATCTGATTGAGGAGCAGAAGCGGCAGCTTCAGAAACAGCAAGAGCTGATCCTTGAACTGCAAGAAAATCAGAGGCTGAGCAGAGCAAAAGAAGAGGCAGTGCAAGCCACAGCAGCAACCCAAGCACTTGACTCTGCTTCACAAACCAGGGAGAAAAAACTGAAAAGCAGAAAAGAATCCAGGTGCCAGTATACAACCCCTTTGAGGTATAGATCCTAGATAAAGCAGGCTCAATTAGTCATCGTGTCTCATCCCTACTCAAGTAGAAACACAAGTTGACAGGAATATTTCCATCATATTAGTGCTATCTGCTGTTTCTCTTTGCAGTGACAGCCTCAAGCAGTATCAGTCTGGCCACAATTCTCCATCCTCTGTTTTTGCAATTGCTTGACAGCACATGATCTGTACACGGTCTACTTAAAAGAAGCAACACTAGTGTTACACATTGTAGCAGCATGGATTTATTTAGTTAGGAGAGAGATTGTCATACTCAGTATTTCAGAATATGCAGGAGCTCTGGGTACTCATCTCTTTTGTAAGAATGCATCGTTAATCACATTTGGGGCAGAAGAAAGGTATATCAGGGACCTACAATGAAAATGCAGCACAATGGAGAATAGAAATTATAAGGCCTGTATCTCAGTCATAGGTGGTAGGATTGAGACAACGTTTGACCATATTTATTGATGAATTTCTTTACTCTTTCTTTTCATAGTCCACGTGTTTCGTGTGAGCCAGAGAACACAAAGGCAGCAACGCAAGGCAAGAGGTCAGCTCATCCCATAGTGAAAGGTATTTTTCTAGGCAGCAAAGACCATTCTAGGCTACTTTTTTCAAAAACTCATGTAAACTTGTGTTTATTTACCTCAACTTCACTGGTTGAGAACAGTATGCAAGTAAAACTCAACACTGTTTTCTAGCCCGGCCACCCCTGGGAGAGAGTAAGCTGTTTTCATGGCTAAGTCAGGCATCTGTAGAACTTAGGCTACTGCAAGCCCTTGCTCAGTATGCTGTAGCAGCTGTTACCTAACACCTGAGTCTTGCCAGACTAGAAACAATCACTTGAAAGAAGTTCTACAAGTTATTTTGCTATCATTCCCTTCACTGCACATTCAAGTAACACTTAAGTTAACTGCTCATTTTAACTTAACTTTGACACGAGCACTAAGAATTTCCAGAGAAATTAAGTACCTACCTAAGATTTTGAGAGACTATAGTAGGCTGGAGAAGCACCACCAGATTCCTGTCTTCTGTGAGTTATCTCCCCATCTCTGGCCATACTGGAACAGCATGCACACGTTAAACATGCGACACAGCCTTTCATAGGGCATATGAATATCAGATTCTGCTATGTCCTTAACTTATCTTTTTCCATATTAACCTAGGGGTGGTCACAGTCTGCAGAAAAGATTGTTTGGTATGTGATGTTGCAACAGTCTTGAGAATCTCCAGAGCAATTTTGGCTATGATAGTTAGGCATTAATAGATACCTTTCATTACAACAGACTGTGTTCAGTTCCCATGCTTCTTAGTGCAAACAATCACTCTGATTTCTTTGAGCTCTGTACAGCTTGAGGACAGTAAGAGTATTTCCGAAGCACTCAAGTGCTTTTCTTTAGAGATCCATAAGTAATTAGGGGCAAAGTTGTTACTAGATATTTTCCCTTGGCAGAGAAATCTGGCACAGCTGATAGGAAAAAAAGAACTTGAGGTAACCTGTTGACATCCAAACAATTATGGACTGCTCCAGCCTATGCTTTGTTTGTGACTACAAGGGAAGAGAGTACAGGTTCTAAGCTCCACTGCATGTTCTGTGATATAATGTCAGACTAACATCACCGATAGCCAGCAACACTGCTGCACTGCAACTTACCTTCCAGAAGAATTAAGCAGTAGTTTCACACTAATGGGACTGAGTACCTGTGTGGCAGAGGCACTTTCCTATAATGCAGTCACTCTTTAAATAAGCAACTGGAGTTTCCTGGAGACCTTGCTGTGACTGCTGTTAAATAGGTTCCTTGATCTTTGGCCCTCAAACAGGAAATAGTGGGATGAAACTTCTGGACACAGCTCCTTTCATAATCCAGCCTCATTGCTGTGACTGTCAACGAAGGAAGGTGGAGTGACACTAATTGGGGCAGTCCTGAGTCTTATACAGATTTGTGGGTTCCTTTTTCATAACACTGAGAGCTTTAAGGGGCAGCTGAAAACAAGTTCTTTAGTGCTGGTATTGCCAGGTCAAGAGGGGACCTGACAGCATAGGGGTCATCCTCTATGTTCACCAAACTTGTACCATTACCCAATAGCTCATTTGTGTTATGTCCTGTTTCCGTTTCTGTAGCTATGGAGGAGAGAGCAATTCAGCGGGCAGAACGGAGGAGGAAACTAGAAGAAGCTAAACAACAAAGAGAAGAGGAAAAAATGGTATGAACAGTGGGAAAAATGAAAGACACTCACACTATTCCAGTGACAAGAAATGCTTCTCTAACCTCAAAAACCCAGGGACCAAGAAAAATCCCTTTAGTATCTAAATGGAGTTCTACAGCTTGTCAGAAAGCAGATGTAGCATACATAAAAAAATGTTCCTGCTACACTTGTATTCAGGGAACCCACTAGCCTTTCCATATCACGTATCACTTTGTGTTGATGCAGCTGCAATTCTAGAAGCAGTCTCCCTCGCCACCCTCCAGCACTTTTTCACACTTACCTTATGACCTTAACTGTCCTTGCCAAGGATGGGAAGAATGCAAAGATCCGCTTGATTGGACCTGGTAAATGATGGGTGTTCCTTTTCCCTGCTTTTCCTTTCTGGTCACGTGCAGCTTGAAGACATGCAGTCTAACCTAGTAAAAATCCTGCACCTTGGTTTCTAGCAAATCTCTGCTGAAAGGAGAGGATACTGATAATGTTTACATAGTTAATATAGAAATTCCATGATACACATCTAACAGATGAGCCTTCTTAGCTTCAAGACATTAATTAAATCTGTTACTGAGAGCATTAATACTAATTTGCATTAGGAATAGAAAGCTAAGAACCAGGGTCCTAAAACAACCAGTACTTCTTTCTTCTCCAAGCAAGAAGGATGCACATGCATACCTGGAAACTTAAGCAAGCATTAGATATCGCTTTAACCATAGGGTGGGCAGACAAGGTTTAGCTTAGGTTTCTTCAGCTACTGCTGTTGTGATCATAGAGATTAGAGGAAGCACAGTGATTGCAGTCATGCATGGTGGTGTGGGTTTTAGACCTGTAATGCATATGCCAAGAGCAAGAGCTTTGTGGAATGAAAGCAGGTTGAGACAGACAAGGGTCATAGGTGAATATTAACATAGGGCTAAGAAAGATTGCCACATATGGGTAATAGAAAGAACAGTCTTTCCTTCCTCTCTCTTCCACACAGTTCTTTGTCCAGCATGCATCATATCTAATATGTGACAAAGTCTTCTTTCTGGAGTCTCAGATACTAGTCAGTACTAGAAGAATACTGCCTGTCTAGGGGAAGTTTAGAGGCCTGTGTTTTATGAAGAGGTCACGTACACTGAACTAAGTTGTATCTATTTTATCCGTTCCAAGGCTCAGCTGAAGGCTGAAGAGGAGGCACGTCAGAGGAAGGAGGCTGAGGAAAAGGAAGCTCAGCAAGAGAAAAGACGAGAGGAGAAGAGGCAGCAGAAGCTGGTGATCAAACATGTCATCTGTCTCCCCAACTTCAGCAAGGATAGGGAAGAAGAGCCATTACTCACTTGCACTCAGTCAGCAGCCAGTGGTGTGAACTAAAGATCTTTGTTAGTAGAGAAGCATTCCACAGCACCAAATGCATCAACTCACCACCATCTCCCTTTCTAGCAACTTTAGAAGGGCTGTTGGCCAAATGCGTGAGGTATATACTGTCCCCATCTTTGCAGCCAGACTAGAGGTCCCACATGGTGAACATCCAGTGCTGAGCTATGGCCATGTAACCCCCAAAGAGGGTGTGCTCCTTCCAATTGTAGGCTTCTCCAGCAACATAACAATACCAGTCACAGATACACAATTTAGAAGTAAACAAGCCTGACAGATGTATGAAGGACAACCTTCCATCCAAAGAATGAGAAGCATCCCCTCCTTGGAGCAAGCAATATTCAGCAACCTAGGAATAGCCCCACATCAATCTTGTTACTTACAAACGAGCTGCCCTAATAACCCAAACAGCGCCACACTTGAAATCCCACAGGAATCCAATCTATAAATACTGTTCTACTTGGACCATTTTAGAATGTTTGACCTTTAACTCTGCGTCTCAAGCAAAAGTAATACTGTACAGTTATGTAATACCCACATACCTTCCCTATTCTTCTATTCTTCTGTGTTTAAGCTAAATTAAGTGATGGATAAAACAATCATTTTTGTACAGGTTTCCGGCCTAGTTTCATAAACACAGGTAGCTACACTTTGAGCTCACCAAAGCACCCCTCTTCACATTGATGAAGGCCCAGCAGAAGGAGGTTCTTGTTACCTCAGTGCTGCTGGCAGCCATAGATTATACAGAGTGTTACTGTAACACCAAACTGCAGTGCTGTGGGAAGGCCCTGTGTTCACATGCGGCCCAAGGAAATGTCTAGGTATATCATCTTCTTCCATGAGGATTTTCAAGACAGCTTGCTTTCTTCTACTAGTTCATGTCTAGTTTGCACTGCTAAAGATAATACAGACCCTTACTTCCTGTCAGGAACTCCAGCTCCAACACAACAACCTTAATGTTCATGTCATCCAGACTGAATTAAAACTATTGCTCTTCATATTGTAGAAAGAGCTGGAGAAGCAGAGAAGGCTGGAGAAAGAGCAGCAGCTCCAGAAAAAGGCCAGAGATCACTATGAGAAGGCCCTACTGAGAAAACTGGGAATGGTGCCGTGGAAGAAGCTAAGGGAGCAGGCCAAGGAAAACATGATGGTAAGCGCTGTGGATAAAGAAAAGGTCTGGTGCCATGGGAGGAAGGGAAAAAGAATAGATGTAGCAGAAACCTTAATGGGCTTTTAGGACAAAGCAAAAATTCTTGCACACACTGCCCTACACTGGGGCTTTAAATGAACTCATATGACAATAATCGTGAAAGGTCATCACGCTTGTGGGGTTTTTTTTATGTCCTCATTTATTGCTGGTTAAACAGAAGCCGAGAGGAGAGTGAAAAGGATGAATCTCAATCTAATGAAAAGTCATCTTTTGTTAGCTTACACTTGCCTGCAATATTAACTGCCACTTAACTCAATGCCAGTAACACAGTAGAAGTTAGTTTAGCCCCCCTCCCCCCTCTAAAAAGAAAAAAAATAAAATAAAATTGAAGTCTCATGATCTGAGCCTGTCAGTTCTTTTGCACCACAGATCACAGCAAAGCTAGTTAGTAAGATACTGCCAAGCCATTGTATTTAGTTAATGCCAGCCCATCACTAGGAGTTTCATTCTTCCTGGCAGCAGTGCTGGCACAGTGTGGGGCACTGCTTGAGGTAAGACACAACTGATAATTCAAGTGACCAAAAGTCACCTCTTCTAGCCTTGCCACACCTTCAGTGCAGAATAACTAGTAGCTTCTGAGATCCTGACACATACATCTTGATAATGAAACATTTCTGTATGTGACTGAGTTGGCATGCCTTATCAGTGGTAGACTAATAACACTCAACTGTGTCCTGAAGATTTAGCCAAAGCCCAGGGCTAAACTGGCAAGCTTCTGTTTCAAGTCACAAGAGCTACTTACAATATTCAACCCAATTCACATAGGTGTCCAGCTGGGAAGAAGCAGAGGGATAGCAGATGCTCTGAAAGTTTGTCCTGCTGTTCAGCATTAAGGATTGGGTTAGACTAAATTGCTAGGCAGTGCCTCTGCTCCACAACAGGTCAAACTGTGTATCAAATTCAAAAGGATTTTATCTAAGAAAGACTCAGCATTCCCTGCTTTTGGGAACTTACCGTACAAGTTGCTCCAGTTGTCAGACAACTGCATTTTAGGGTTCCCCAAAAGCTGGGCTAATATAATATTGTATCTGGTTTTCAGAACACACACATTGTTCCAAGTAACCAGCTGCCTTTTCTGTTACCTTTGTTCAGGTGGCCCAAAGGCACTACTGCTTAAGTCTGCAGAGGAAATGCCTGATGAGTTGGTTCCAACACACCCAGGAGACACTCATGGAGAAAGTGTCTCAGGCTGAGGACTTCTTCTCCCACACATTGATCAGATGGTGCTTCAGGAACTGGCTAAAGGTTTACTTTCTCCACTATAGAGAAACAACACCAAGGGAGCCTGCTGCTGCCATACTTTCTCATCACACACTTGCTTACAGACCTGCAGCCCAGCCTTTGCTGGGTTATGCTGTCCTCATTCCAGCACCACCATTCCCTTCCTCAGAGATCTTCTTTCAGCTCTACACTCCCCATCATTCTCTTCAGTTTAGGACACTCCTACACTCCCCACATCCACCTGTACACGCTCTATCCCTGTTACCCACTGATTTCCATCCGACTCCTGTTCCTGTTACCTTTTACAGTCACTGTCTCAGTGCTGCTATGTATGTGCTTATTGGGATGGGGAATTGGGAAGAAGCTGCCATTCTTACCTTCTTCTGTCTTCCTTCCCCAGTACAAAGTTTACCTCTCCACTCTGGAGAAGAAAGCAAGTGCTCTCCATGCAGTCTGCCTCAAGAGGAAGTGTTTCTGGGCATGGTTTGATCTGATCATGGAGGAAAAAAGCACCTTAAGAGAGAAGCTGAAGATTGCTACTGAACACTGTAACAAGTAAGCACATTTCCCTTACCAGCAGTTTTTTTATACACAGGTTTAATTCCACCCCACAGAATATTTTAGGGACTCTGCTTTTGATGGGGCAATGATCTTTTCCCCAAGATTATGTGAAGTGGATTATATACTACTGGAATTTTGTTTCTGTGATATGAACAGACAACAGCAGACATTAATAGTTAAAAAAAAAAAAAAAAGTCCATGCAGCCCAGAAAAGGAAGTTTAGTCATATCCTTTGCAGGACTTTTAAACCTGCTGGAAGAAAATACAGTGAAAGCAGTTAAGTGGCTGAAACTTTCTAAGCTAATTAGCAGATTGGGCCATGCAGCTTCCTCTAAACTCAGAAAATCTCTATACCAAGCAATGATTGTGCAGGAATTACATTATATTGTTTTGTCCACAGTGAATGATTTGGTTTACAAATCCAGAGTTGATTAACTAGAAACCCTGCTTAGGGAATCATTCTGTTTCTGCTATCATGAGCCTAATTTGACAGGAAAAAACACAGCAAACAGTTCTACTGATCACAATTGGAGCTAGATGCAGCTGTCCCACAACTGCATCAACTGTGCATTTTAACAGGAAGAAAAGAACTACTGTCAGAGTTCAGCAGAAAACAGAAACATGCTCACCTATCTGACCACAAATGTATGTCAGCTACACAGTCACCGATAGGAATGTACTTGTGTACATCTTTCCATTCATGCTTCTCCTGAATGAATAAGTTGCTTTAAGAGACCCTGTTTATTCTTATTCTTTAAGAAATGTCTTTTGTCTTCAGAGCGCTGAGCACACACAAGCTAATGATTCTTGTCAGAAAGAAGAAAAAAATCCTTGCGGGAGAGGGATGGAGAATGTGTTATTTTTCTCTAGGATGACTGACATATTAATGAAATGGTATACATGTACACGTTCAAGGTGTCACAGTTCTAACAAGCTGCAGAAAGGTCGAATCCCACAGGTATTTCAGGGGAATTTCCCCTCAAATAGAGGTCATCCTTTATCTGGTCCTCTAAGTACACATCTAGGGACTCTGTTCTTTATGTTCCTAATTTCTTTCAGGAGACTCCTGCTTGATGCATTCAAGGCTTGGAGGGAGTACCCACTACTGATGAAAAAGGAAAGAGAGAGAGAGGAAAGGAGGAACCAGCTACGAAGGAGAGTAGCTGAAATTCTTCCTGACTTCCAAACATGACAGAAGAAACTGAAAGGAGACTGGGAAGATGGACAAGAGATCTCATTCTGTTCAGTGTTATCTTTCTTCCAGTTGAAACAAATTCAAGATGAAGTTCTGTTCAGTGCAAATGGTAGTCTTACAGCCAAAGCAAGTTCCCTGGGGCCAAACCAAGTGTATATGGAACCTAGTTTGATGTTTTTACTTTGGACTTGAGGGAGAGTTCTTCCCCATGAGATTCTCCCAAGACGAAGTCTCCATAGGGATTTACGGGCTGGTAGCAGCAAGGCTGAGGTAGCCATAGCATTTCAGGCTGAGAATGTTTCTGCACACAAAAGCTGCAACCCTGACATTAATCCACCCCCATCTCAGGAAGCACAGAACTCAGAACTGAGATGTACCTATTAAGCAGAAACCTTGGTGCTTTTCCGTTGCCAGTACTCCACAGAACAACAAATTGACCAGAGAGCAAACAGACTTGACTAGCAGCTGATCCCTGCTAACCACTGCTGTGAACTTGGCCACACAAAGAACAGATTTTAGCTAATTGTGCCAGGGAAGTTTGGATGGGAGGAGAAAGAGGAGCTGTTTGTGCAAATCCTGTTTACTAACAGACTAGGCCACAGCATCACATATGGATAGTCTAAAACCTGGACTTTTACAGTGACTGTCTAGTTTGTAGTGTTGTCCAGTTCAGAGGCATGGTGCTTTGATTTTGGTAGCAAGTGGTTATTCCAGGTTTATGAACCTCTTATGATAGAATGGCTTAGGTTAGAGGGGATCTTAAAGATCATCTAGTTCCAACCCTCTGTCAACCATCACATCTGTCTGTTAAGAATCCTAGCCAATCTGGTCCTGTATATCTCCAGAGATGGGGCATCCACAGCCTCTCTGGGCAGCCTGTGCCAGTACACCTCACCACCCTCTGAGTAAAATAATTCTTCCTACCACCTAACCTGAATCTGCTCTCTTTTAGTTTAAAGCCATTACCCCTTGTCCTATCACTATAGGACTATATGTGTAAAAAGTCAGTCTCCCTCCTGCTTCTAAGCTTCCTTCCTGGAGCTTCCTGGAAGACCACAGTGAGGTCTCCCAAGAGCCTTCTCTACTCCGAGCTAAACAAGCCAAACTCCCTCAACCTTCTTTCATAGGAGAGGTGCTCCAGCCATTTGATTATCTTCATGGTGCCCTCCTCAGGACCTGCTCCAACAGCTCTACATCCTTCTTATACTAGGGACCCCAGGCTTGGACACAGTACTGCAGATGGGCCTCATGAGTGTACAGTAGAGGAGAACAATCCCCTTCCTCTCTCAACTGGCCATTCCTCTTTGGGCGCAACCCAGGATTCCATTGGCCTTTTAGACTGCAAGCACACACCGATGGCTCATGTCCAGCCTTTTGTCCATCAGGACTCCCAAGTCCTTCTTCACAGGGCTGCTCTTAATGAGTTCTTCTCCTAGTCTGTACTTGTATATGGGATTGCCTCCCTCCAAGCGCAAAACATCACACTTGGCCTCGTTAAACCTCCTTAGATTCTCATTTGCCTACTTCTCAAGCATGCCTAGGTCCCTCGGGATGACATCCCTGCCTTCTGTTGTGTCCTCTTGCTTCACGTCTGTCATGTAAACATTTTCCAGGCTGGTTCACTGTAATATTTAAAGATTCATTGTGCAAGTGTGTCTAGGCCCTTTCACTTGACCCATACCTCAAACAAAAAAAATACTGTTTTTACATAAGCTAAAACTGACATAATCAAAAGGAAGGTTTTTCATAACTCTAACCTTAACCTGCAGCATAGTGCAGATACAGTAATGCAGCTAAGGTACAGTATGTCTTTTCTCAGCAGTAGCATAAGGGAGGAATCTGGAAATGCTTTCCCCTCCTCATGAGATAGGTGAAGTTGTCTCCAAAATAGCTTGGCAATATGGAAAACACCAGGGCAAAGCAAGGAAGGTGGCAGTTTACTGTTACCCATTGTACTGGATAATTTTCTTAATCCTGTATATACATTGAACGTTTTCAATAAACCCAAATCTGAAATGAGCGTAACCAGGTTTTCAGTGTCAGTGTGACAGAAGCTGACTGAATGGCACTAGACTGGAGTCTGTGTCTAGGGAACATGGACCAGAGCTAAGCACCACTGATTAAGCAGTGTAGGACAGGCCAGTTTCCGAAACTCAAGAAACTTCAATTTCAGGAGATAGTCTGTCCAGAGAGCCTCCCCTCTCACACAAGCTGGGCTGTCCAACTGACTGTCATTGTCTTTCTGAAGATGTCTGCTATGTCTGGGCTGCCTCCCTCCCCAAAATGTTAACATCTACCACTCTCCCCACGGCAGATGACAGACCTGACCACCAGCAGGTCAGATGAGCTTGCTATCCAAGTGCAGGGAGCTGAAGGTGCGTGCCCACACAGAGCGTGGGCGAGTACAGACCATCTGGCTGCATTAAAAGCAGATTGCAAGAGGAAGCTACAAGCTGAGAGAGTTGAATAACTCATCTTGCAGAGGGGGAAATAGGCACTGCAGAAGGGTGGTATATCTTGCAAAGGACTGAGCCAAGGAGGCTAGCCATAGGCTAAGCAGAGCTGAATCTCTCACATGTTAAAAGGGTACGGCATAGAACCAGCTGCTCAGGAGTGCATCTGGTTTACTGAACTGTGGATTCTTCCTCCAACAATGCCATAGTTGTGCATTTTGTGCCCACTCACCAGCCATGAAAATAATGCTGCTTCTGTAGAGCATGACTGTACTTCAGGTGGGGGGGGGGAGGAGGGTGAGTCAGCACTTGCTTTTGAAGAGTATTGAAGACAAAGACCAGTCTTATCTTCTGGGGTTTTCTTCTATTCTTAGTAGTTCTGACCAAGATTCTCCCACTGTCCCAAGATGCTCTTCTGTTGTATTGTTCTAGCAGCAAAAAGCCAAAAGAAGATCCAGGAAGGTGTACTTCAGCACCCGTTTTGTCATTGCTGCAGCTAATCCCATTGAAAAAGGCATTTTCACTTCGGTATAACAGCAAATTCAGAACCGTAATCTGATCACAAGCTGCCCTTCTCCTTATCCCCATTCAACACCTGCTCTGCTGAGTTCTTCCATGTCTTCCCAAAAATCCTTGACTACACCCAACACAAGTCTGGCTACTGCTGCTGAAAAGTCTTCATTGTCAGCAAGCACAAAGCAATCTTCAAAGAGAAATTGCTAAACAGCTGAAAGAAGTGCCACCAGGCAAATCAAAGCAGAGCTCTGGGAACAATCAAAGGCACCTGTTACTCTATTTTATCAAAAGTCATCTTGCCTTTCAAGAGATGTGTCATTTGATCCTTCTGGTATCTTGGGACATGTCTTCCCACTACCTGCACAAAGAATATCCATGTCATTTCCAAGCATGGCTTAGAAAAGAGTTTAAAGGAAAAAACTATTCCTATTCAGGGTTCTAGATGCACTGCAAGGGCAGGTACAGGAGAGAAAGCAAGACATTGGATGGCAGGATTCTAAATTCAAGGCCCTGCTTCAAATTCCCACTGGAGGGGGTATTCCTAACTTCTACAGTGATGAGAACTGCCAACCACGTCTGTTTCATCCCAACGTGAAAAGACCTGAAAGTCAATAGTTGAAGAACTGCAAGAATATCTATTTCCAAATGCCTCCTTAGCCTGCTGCTCCCTTGTTCCTATGCCCACTTCACAGCTAAGTAGCCAGGAGATGGTGGCACTTTTTGGATGTTTGACCTGGCTGTGTGCATTGGCATAAATCAACAGGCAACTTCACAGATGATTTCTGATAATTTATTTTGATTTATAATTGCATCTATTTGAAATCATTGGATACAGTATACTATAGACACATACACACGCACACACACCAGTCCTTTCAACAAAGCTCACAAATGTTTCATGAAATTCTTCCTAAAACTTTGGCAGGGGGGAAAGAAAAACCAAAACAGAAACAAGAAGATCTCACAAGACACACTCTACTCTCCAAGGCAGACAGTTCTTCCAGAGCATGTCATTCTTAGTACTGTAATTAAATGCGGTTCATGAAGATTTTGGGAGGCTGAATTTCCACATTTCAGGAAGAACCTCACCTGTCCAAAGATTTCTGCTGTACATACCATAGTAGTGGAAGAAAATCTTAATAAAACAAGAGTTCTTCATTGAAAGCAATATAGGAAAACATCCATAATCACACACACTTTCTGCCCTAATGAGGCAATATACATTCATATAGAAGGAAAACATCAAGCACATTATTAAGACATTAGGCAATGAGGCAGTATCCATTTTAACTGTAGAAGAACTTTTATAGCAAATGGTTTCCATTAAGACACTTGAAAGCAACCTACTTCAGAAAAGCACCATCATAGCATGAAGGTCAAATATGATAAGAAATCACAAGCAGCACCAACTTGGGCTCACCAGTGACTCTTGCCATCTGAAGACAAGTTAAATGGAGAAACAGTCTATGTGAGGACCTGTGACTTGTCTACAGTAAGCAGCTCAGTTTAAGATGACAAAGTTAAGAATGCCAAGCCACCATTTACACAGTGTATCTAATGGTGTACAGCTCTTAGTACAGTTACCAAACAACAGGGTGCTAGTATTTGTACACAGGGGGCTTAACACTAGGACAGCAGCAACATTAGAACCCTGGCCCTTCTATAAAACCAAACCAGTCATGAAAAAACAAAAGGTCATGGTTAAAGCAAGATCCACCCATTTCTAATTCTGGGTGAAGAAACATCAAGGCTAGATACCATTCAAATACTTCCCTGCTTCTTATTATCTCTGGGTACTCTCACACAGAAAACTCTGAAATTACCAGCAGCATACTGTTTTCTTATTGCCACACTGATGCATGCTGTTTTACTGGTTTTACAGACTGACTCTCCAGCCCTACCAGGCTGCACTAGTTTTTAACATTTTCCTCCTAGCACAGCCAACATTGAGCTCAGCAACAAAATTTAAAACAAAAATTGCCCTTTCGTGCACAAGATATCACAGCAGTCTGCCTACATTATAAATGAAACAGGAAACGTTGTCCTTAAAGGTCGTCTTCTTAATTCTGAAGGCTATTAAAAGAAGAGCTCCAGTGCATACATTTGAAGCTTTCAACACTTCCACCCTTTTAGACAGGGACGTATCATACTTTCCATCTCTAAAGGTATTCACAAGGTAAATCCTCTCAGCGAGAAGCCAGGAGGATAAACAAAAGCCATGTCCTTAAAGAAAAAGCCACCACTGCTATGCAGACTACAGTGAAGTGAGCTTCCTGCTCACTGGAAAGTCAGCACTGTGCTCTCCTCATACAAAAACCCAGTCTTGCAAGCATTATATTGTCCTGAATGATTCTGACTCCCTCTGGATAGATGCAAAAATAGAACTTAGTTTAAGCACTTTACCCTATATACTGGTGTGGGCTTGATCAAGCATGGCAGGGTTACAATAGTCCAAGGTCCTTGATTCCTAATTTGCACTCAAGTTCACACTGACAATTCCACTGAGAAAGTCTTGGTATAAGTAGTTTAAATTTTCCCACACCAGAGCTCATTAAAAAGCAAGGGACAAGGCTACACCGATGTGCAGGCTGCAAACAATGAAAATCTACCCATGGGAGAGAATGAGTTCAGCAGGGTCAGGCAACTGCCAGGGGAATTAATCTGTCACCTGCCCAGCTCTGCTTCCTCCCAGCCCAGAGCTGAACTCTGAGAAACCACTTATCACAAATCTGTGAGCACTCCCAGAGCTTGCTCAGTTCACAGGCGTGATTGATGTCTGTGTGTGTAACTCAGAGGAGCAGAAAGGTTGGCTACCTTCACAGCAGGGGGTTTAGTCCAGGTGCTCATTCTGGCTTCATCTTCCCACATGGCAGCAGAACAAGATTTTTTGGGAAGATCACAAGCCTGCTAACCCTGGCTCCAGCTCATCTCAGCAGGCACTGCAAAATGCATATGTTCCACAGAAGCATTTACAGACAACTCACACGGAGGAGAGATCTTTGTATAAAGCTAAACTTCTAGGGTCAGACTCCAGATCCAAACAGTTAGAAGATCATGCTTAGCTGCCAGAGAAATAGCAGAGTCCAGTTGAGTATCTTTAACTTCACACTAGTGCCAGGGAAGTTGTCAGAAATCTAAGCGTGTTAGACAAGAGGCAGGAAGCACAAGGGGTGCCTCCTTTACTTCCTTTAAAGAGCTGCTCGCTGGTTGAAAAGGGGTAACAAATAAAGGACACTCCGTAAATCAGTAGCTGTTTCTGAACAGCCACATTCCAAGTGCAGCTGTTCCTTGGTTATCTGCTGGTTATAGAAATTGTAGGTGCCATGTGAGGAAACCAAACAGTGCAAAGAGGTGCATGCCCTTTACCTTAAACTGGGACACATACTCAGGAGCATACACACCAAATATGGCAGGGATCTCAAGGAACAGTCCCAGTTCTGCTGTCCCTTAGCACCATGTACCATCTATTCTTTAGAGAATATGTACAACAGCACACACTGAATTTGCATCACACAAGCAACACCCCCTAATTGCCTACCACACAAGCAGAAGCTGGGCAAGTTTGATCTGTGAAAATTGCACACGTATCCGAAGGCATCATTAACTAAGGTGAGGCTCTTACAACTGCTTCTGCATCTTAGGCTCACGCCATAACTCTCATGCCACAGTCCCAGACTTTTCCAGCCAGACCTTTCTGCAGGGCCAACACACAGAAAGGATTTAAAATGAAAAACAACAAAAATCACACTCCCAAGAGGGTAGAAGCCATCACCACTAAAACCTTATGATTTCAGCTGAAGCTCAAGTCTAGGCAATAATACAGTTGCAGGCTGCTGGAGGACACGCAGTCTTCTTGACCAACAGAATTAATACATTCATCTACGTGCCACTGTGGGTCACCTACCCCAAAAGCTGCCAGCTCCAAAGCATCCTCTCCAACTCTCTACATAAGCAGACACCAAACTGTTCCTCACCTTCCTGGTTTGAGAAAACCACAGTCAGGCACCAGGGCAACTCCCCAGTGACTGGGTTCAGAAAAGACCACATCATTCTTATTAGCAACACAATTAATCAAAACGTTGCTTACCAAAACCGTTAGCAACAAAGTCAATTCTCCCACAGACTCCCTCCTCCTTGAGAGGGAGGGAGTAGGGCAGTTCCTGTAAAGCAACAGCATCAGGCAGCAGTCTGTTCTCCCCTCACAGTCAAACATCACGTGTTTCTTCAAAATATTTTCCTTCTTACTCTGTATATTTACACCTGCTGTCTCATGTCAGAATCCATAATCAGAGCAGAAATATTTTGAGGGAGATGAGACAAGCCATCAAACCAACACAAACTCAGCTTACAAAAAAGAATGATGAGATCAAAGATGACACTCTTCTCACCCAGTCAGAGAGACAGGTCAAGTGACAAGAGGATCTTACAATACCCTACAGGAATGTTGCTCACAAAGGCACTTAATACAAGCAATAGCATGTATACAGCTGGATGGGATAGAAGAAAAAGAAAAATGCACCAGAGATGATGGAGCACTCAGTGACTGCCTGAGCAGTCTTTTTTTTTTTTCTTTCAACTAAACAGCATGGCTTCTGCACCAGTCCATCTGTTTTCTATATTAAAAGTTCACTCTTCTAACAACACTGAAGCGTTGCATGTAGGTACAAGCCAGAGATTCCTCAGGCTGCAAAAAACAGCATACAGTCTGAAATCCAACAGCAGGTTCCCGTTGATGCCAGAGTTCAAACCTAATGAAAACTCAAGTTTTTATAACCTTGTGCTCTTCTTCCTGCTGAGCTGCACAAAGTTTCCCACAGTGCAAAGAGACAGCGGGTTCCCGCTCTCCAGGTTTGTGCATATGGCTTACTGCTTTCCACATCCTATTGCTGGCTGATGGCACACAAAGAATCATTTTTGCTTGGGAAAGCCTCTGATGTCTGCGATGGGATGGGCAGCCCATACACCAACCACAAAGGAAAGGTGTAGAGGAGGAAGTTCTAGTGGAAGGGGCTGTTCCCCTGCTAAGGAAAGTCAGTCAACGTCATCTGCAGAAAAAAGGGTGTCACACAATGTCTTCAGCAGAGCGCTGCTGGTGGGGAGAGCCCAGGCTCAAGAAATGGCCCCAGTTGCATAGAAAGCCCCTGTTATATTGGCCAGTGTCTATCACTAACCCACCCAGGAGCCTGCGCCCAGAGTTGTCCCGCAGAGCCAGCCGAGCTTCCCTCTCAGTCACGTTGTAGCTGATGTTCAACAGCTGGATAAGGAGGATGTATCCCATGCCAATTGTTACAATAGCACAGTACCACACACAGGTGAACGACAGAGCAGAGCTGGCAGCAGGGAAAAAGATGGGAAGGAAGCCATTTAGTTTCGGAGCAGCTGCTTTACAGTGACTTTCCCTGGTAATCACTAGTCTTTCAAATCCCTGTCTACATCTGCCACAGTGATCTCACTTTGCTGCTTTCGTCACATAATCCTTGAAGGCTTTCTCAAAATTAAAGCTTTGTGGCATATTTAATGACAGCTTTTAGCAATACCAGAGCTACTCTTGCACATTCCTTTAGTACTACCTAGCACTTCACTCTTACTGCTGTAAAGTCCTTACTTAAGGAAACAACAGCACTCATGCTTGACAGATGATGAAGTACAGAAGAAGGCAGAGTCACTCGTGCTGCTGTATTCTATACAGCAGTGGTAGAACGAGTCTCTAAACATGTGTTTGAAGCTCCTCACCCTGCTCCCAGCCAGACAAAGCATGTTAACGCTGTATGAGCAGATAACTTGAAGTGACAAAGCCATTAGACAAATGCCATCTCCTTCCTCAGTGAGACAGCATACCGAATCCAGACTGTTGGACTATTGGCATTAACTGCCAACAAACATCTAAAATGTCTGTCTACACAGGACACTAAATAAAGATTTTTAAGTCCCAGCTTCTCCACCAATTTGCTCAAACTGTGAGCTCTCTCACAGGCTCCCATCCTTGGCAAAAGCAGAGATGCATCCCTGCTTTCCAGAGCCATTTAAGGAGCACATCAAGATCAGGTCTGACAGCCAATAGCACTGGTCCTGAGAACACACTGAAGAATAGCTAAGAAGCTAAGCTGCCTGATCATGTACAAGTTCTCTACCCAGTTCTCTCACCTGTAGTCAGAATAGGCCCCAGGGCAGTAGAACAATGCTGTGAATGGGGTTCGTCCCCTGCAGATGGTGTCCAGAGTCAACATAATCCCATACAGAGAGGTGAGCATGAAGAAGAACAGTGCAAGGATGAATGCTTGGTGGTTCTGCTCCCCTACACAGCTGTTAATCCTCCAAAAAGGAAAGAAAAAAAAAAGATTACTTTAAGGGGAAAAAAATAAGCTGGCTTCTCTTTCCTCCTCCTTCCCCCAGTCATCAGAGAATCTGATTTCTAAGGTCTCGCTGCAACACAGGCAGCTTCAAAGCAGCTTTATAGCTTTTTATAGAAAGCTTATAGGCACAAATCAATAGACCAGCAAGGCAGGAGTGGTGAACTGTGTACCCCAGGAACTTTCAGGTACCCATAGCTGAAACACTCATACCCTGCTGCTCCATGGTTACAGTGCTGTGGTGATAACAGCTTTGGTTTCCCTTCATACATGAAAAGCAACCCCATTTCATAGGGTCTGGGGAAAAAAAAAAAAAAAGCTAACTTAAAAGGAAGAAAAGAAACAGAAAACACACATCTTCAGCAACGCCAAACATACCAGACACAGTGATGATCCAGTCTCCTCACACACCTGCCACACAGCCGGCAGTGCCCTGCTCGGGCCGGCCTGACCAGCTGGCATTTGGCACACCAGTCCATTTTCACACCTTCCCGCTCCTCAGCCAGCACTCTGGAGTAGCCTTTGGTCTCCCCATTCACAGAATGGCCACTGGCAGCAGCTCCATGGAGCCCGTTGGAGCTCCCTCGAACGTTCTTGTTGGGAAAAGCCTGCTGGGATGGCCTGTCATCACCCGCTGAGATGGGAAGGTAGCCAGGGTCCTTCTTGGCTCGCGACAAAGCCGCAAGCATAAGAATGAGCCCACAGGTGAGAAGCGTCACTTGGGAATACCCCACGTGGCCTCGAGGAACCACCTCCTGGAGAAAAACATAGTACATGTAGGCCAGGGAGAACAGTCCCAGGCTCAGGAAGAAGAGAGTCCGCTCCTTCCTCCTGTGGGTGAGGTAGTAATACCACAGCACCACGGCGGGAAGCGATGTCAGCACCACCAGCCCCAGCAGGAAGTGCAGAGCTGCGATATGCAGGAAGACGGGGAGCAGGACCATGGGCGGCACGAGGCTGACGTTAACCTTCACAGCCCCAGCAAACCAAGGGACGCGGCATCGGTCCGCAACGGTGTCGGCGATTCTCTCCAACGCTCCTGGGGGCAGGGATCTGCAGGTCAGCCACCTGTTCGGGAAAAGCGTCGCTAGCGAGCGGGCAGACGTGTATACGTACCTCTGCGGCGTCCTCTTCGCCCCCATCCCATCCCATCGCGGGGTCCGCCACCGCGCACCCGGCCCAACCGGCTCCCCGCCCACTCACGGCCGTTCGCCCTTCGTTTCCTCCTTCATCGCAGGGGGCCGCAAAGTTCCCCGACGGCCGCTGAGAGCCGAGCCCCCGCTCCACGCCCGCCTCCCCCGGCGCCTCGGCCGCGCGGAAGGCAGCCCCGGACGCAGAAGGAAGGAGAGGGGCTCCCGGCTGTCCGCTCCCGCGCGGCTGCCGGAACCCCGAGGGCGCCCAACGGCCGCCGCTTGAGGAGCAGCGCGCGGGGCCGCTACCTGTCGCAGCCCTCGTCCAGCTCCTCGCAGTCGCAGCAGCACGCCGCCAGGTGGTTCCGCTCACCCCTCCGGTCCACGTACTCGCAGCAGCACAGCGGCTCCTCCATCTCCGCCCGCCTCGCCCCGGCCCGAAGCCGACGGAGAGAAACGGACGGGGAGGGGAGGGGAGGGGCGCGGCCGCACCTCTCCCGCCCCTCCGCCGCAGGTGCCTCGCGCCCGCCCCCGCCTCCTGCCCGACGGCCCCGCCCCCTCCCGCCGAGCCCCCCCGCGATTGGCCGCCCGCTGCCCCGGCCCCTCCCCGGCGCGGAGGCGGGGGGTGAGGGACCCCCCTTCCCTCAGGGCCCGTCCACCTGACGGCGCGGCGGCCCAATGCCGGCGCGGGAGGGGCGGGGCCGCCGTGACGTGACGGCACCTGGCTTAAAGAGACAGCGCAACAGGTGGCGGCCGCGGCACGGCGTGCCGAAGGGCGGAAGGCGGGCGTCCCTGTTCACACACGGGAAGCGAAGGGCGGCAGAGCGTGGCTAGGAAACCTCCCATGGGGAAAGGGAAAGCCGCTGAGGAAGGAAAGGGCTCAAAGAAGGTAGGGTTGTCGACATTACAGAACAGTAGGGATTGGAAGGGACGTCCAGAGATCATCTGATCCAACCCTCCTCCTTCCTGCTCGGTTAATTCATTAGAGAAATACTCATCCTTGGAGATGGCGACTTCTTGTTACAGGCTCCACCTGTCTGAAAAGGGATATCAGTAACCTGTGGGTGTGAAACCGCTACCTGCTGCTCTCCTTCAAAGCATTTCTCGTTGGCCATGGCCCGGGCTGACACCACTGTGACTCCTCCAGCATAAAGGCAGCACTGCTGAGGATCTTCCTTCTCCTCAGCACAGCTGCCCTCTGAGTGTCTGCTACCCACAGATCTTGCTTTGAGCACAGGGCTGGCAGTGAAGGCCAATTACTGAGCTACAGGAGCACAGAGCCCAACTTACTTCTTCTAGAAACCTTTATTCCATGAAGCTTTTGAGCCAAAATAGAAAAAAAAAAAAAAAAGAGTCCGAAGATGGTTACAATCCCTACTCCACAAGTCCTTAAACACACATCTTCTCTTCTGAGGTCCTGATTCGCAAGCTGCCGTGGGCATTAACTCTCAGTCTTGCTGCTCTGTGTCTTGTTCAAGTGATCAAAGCTTCTTTGGAGCATGGAAAGGGAGAGCTTGAGCTGTGAAAAGAAATAATTGGGGAGCACAATGTGTTAAGTCTGTCTGCTGCAAGGGTCTGGGGCATTGGGAAATTCATGTCTCCCTGCTTCTTTCCTTTTAAGGATTTCACGTGATTTCCTTCTCTCTCTTCCTATAAAGAGCTTAAGAGCTGCTGTAGTGTGCTTTCTTAACAGCTATGCTCTGTGCAGTTTATAATTACTAACAGTAGAGCATGATGAATCTTAACACCCCACTAGACAGTAGCGTGGAAAATAATCTGCCCCACTCGTTTTCAGTCACAGCTGATGCCCATGGAACATCAACTTTCATATTTTCATATCCAGCCCTCCTAGTGCATTTTGCTGCAATTAGATTACTGACACCTCCAAGAAAATAAGGTAACAAAAAGAGTAATATGTCACAACTTCCCAACATGTTATTTGGGATGAAAAAGGTGGCTGAGATCTCACTCCATCTTTTAGAGATTTTCACACCATGCCTGCATTCAAAAAGGCTAATGCTTCAGAATCTGGAATTGTTTGGGTAGCAGGCAAAGAAACCCAAAAGGGCAAGGAAACCAGGAAATTCATTTCTACAATGAAGCAGCCAGCACTGGAAGCATTTGAAGCTGTGATCAAAATGGTTAACAGAGTAATAGCAATTTTGTGTTAGAGACATGTCTAAACAAGAAATAGAAAAAAGTGTTTTTCTCTACCCTCCTGTAGTGTGTGGGAGAACACAGAGCCAACTGCTGATGGATAGAGGTACATGTGAACTCCTCCACAGCTTTCCTAATCTAATAATTTCTTCTGCACATTTTGAGATTTATTAAAAGAACTAAAAACCGGAATATTCACAGATTGTAAATACAAACAACATATGCATTTACTGTCCTTCACTTGCTGAACTGCAATTTCAGCCAAGGGGTTTAAAGCTGTCCTGAACTTCAGGACCAGAGACTCACAGCAGTGCTCACCCCACAGCTCATCTGCAGTTTTTATACAGCGTTTGTAGTACAAGAAGAGCCTGGAAATGTAAGTCATTGGCAAAAAGGATCAACTCCATAGCTATGGAGCCTCCCAGGAATATATAGTCTGGAGAATTTATTTAGAAACATTTCACTGAAGCTTTACGTGGCTTTCTGATACCAAGATTAAACAAAAGTTCTCACCAACAGTGGGAAGGAAAAGCTCAGACCAGCCTGCATGGAGAAACCCAGTGATGAGGTGAGCAAGTAGTAATGTTCTGAGACTTGATCTGTTTTGAATAATTCCAATCTTGCTTTGTCATGATTCAGAACTGCATCAGACCTCATCAATAAAGGCACTTTACAGGTTTAAGAAAGTTGATGTGAACATTTAATTTTAGTCCAAAGACAGACCCATCAGAAACATGAACATTTCCTTCACGCCAAATTCAAGCACAGGACAAAACTGAGGCCAAGGGGGCATGGACTTCAGTTAGTATCAGAAAACATTAAAAGAAAAGCTATTCTGGCATAAGGGAAAAAACTTGAGGTATTGAAAAAAAATGAGTATCACAGGGAAAGCTGGGCAGACTTACCTGTTCAAGCATTTCAATTGAGTCTCTTAGTACTCCCTTCACATGTTTAACCTGTTCCTTATCATATTGAGGGATCTCCTCTTTCGATCCCATTTCTGGGGATATGCTGGAAGAGATTGAGATCGCATCAGAAACATGAAACAAGCACCTCTGTGCCTTCCTATCCAAAAAGAATTGCTCTGTTACCATTGCTGTGACATTGCCAAAAAACATTTTTTCCAAAAGCCACAGAAAAAGGTGTCTGCAATTGATTTTCAATTCCATTTGAGTTGAAGATACTGTCTCAGACCTTTGCAGACAACAGCACCAGAAATAAATGTGCTCACATAACGTCTGCAGATCTTTCTATGAAAGAAGTTACTCCTATCAGTTCTGAGATCTTTGCAATGGGAGATCACTACACTGTCTCCATACTCAAGACCAGGTTATAATTTATGCATGTAGTATATGCAAATAAATAACAAGCAGCAACATCTGAGCCTATTCCATGCGCTTGAAAATAGAAGGCATCTAACACGAAAAAAAAAGGTGAGAGGGAATTTTGCACAAAAGCAGAAGCTAAGAAGCTAAGTGAATCTTCATATTTGAGATCATGCTGGTTCACATAGGATGAAGCAAGTAATTCAGTTCTATGTTCAGCAATACAATATTCACAGAAGATGAGTCACAACAAGGTGATAAATGCAAACTAAGGTTAACACTCCCCCCCCCCAAAAATAAGGAAAAACATCTTTTCTTTAACAAGGAAAATGCAGACTTGTCACTAGATATCCACACAGACTACAGAGAAGTAACAAGTCATAGCAGCTTTTGAAAACTCACCACCAAGATTCACTGTTTGAAATTTATTTCTTTCTATCAGATTCTGCAATAATCTGAGAAAGAACAAAAACTAAGATTGTGAATTCAACTTACTTCAAAGAGCTCTCTTCCTGAAGCTGGACGTGATAGAGGGACTGAGCTGCATGCTCTATCTTTGACAGCTTGAGAAACAGTGTTATATTGAGCAAAACCAAGAGCAGCAAACTGTAGAGACCAGAAACATGAAGTCAGACAGAGTTTATATTATTACTGTTACAGTGCTACAGAAGGAAGAGCTGGGCTACAAACATCTAGGAAAAGAAAATCCCTCTGGGGCAAAAATAACTGCGCCAGCACTATACTGAAGGTAAGATTTATCTAGATAATTCTTAGCAATTAGCTTTAAGTTGCAACCTGTAGGAAGTGACAATAGTGCCTCCTCTTGGACCTTTCAGAGGTAGGAACGAATAAATTTTAAGAATTTTTTGTAGGCTCAAACATACAGAGACCTGAAAAGTAGGCCAGTTTGACAAATCAGCATTTTAATTTTGCATGTCCTTTCTGAAGTCAATCCACCCCTCTCTTTTACCCATAAGCTCCTGTATTTACACTCCATGTAGGTTAGGATTGGTCATGCTACATGGAACGTCAACATGCAGGTGAGGTAGGTACAGGCAAATAAAAACCAAGATAAGCTCGAGTTAAGCCATGTTTTAATGCAAGTAAGTACTTACAAGACACTCATTACTACAATGATGGTAGTGGTCCTACTAATAGCATCTCTTTTCCTTCCTATAGGGCATGGAAGAGAAGGTGGTTAAAAAGTACTGAAGAACATTTCTAATGCATGTCTGCATATACACATCAGTGCTCAGAATTTTATACAGAGTATGTGACATAACAGATCACTTGGGTGCATAAGAGTCTCTCCAGAATTCACTACTCACTTCTGTAGCCATCTCAGACAAGTCAGCTAGACATGCTCTTTTATTAGGAAGAAGATTCCCTCACTTCAGTATGCTGCAGAGAACAGCTCTAGGATAGGCTAACATTAAACCCAGGTAGCCTGAGAATGCTACAGTCCACCCATTGCTGTCATTCAGCACATACACCCTTAGTCACACACATTAGTAGAGATGCTCTGCAACATGGCTCTCCTCTAATTGTTCTCCTGGCCATATTAGTCTTTCTGCCAAGTAATGCAAAATGAAATTCTCTTGTAACTTGTCTAGTCTGGGCCAGCTACATTTATGTGCTGACCTGACGACAGATCTTGAGAAGGCAGGCTGTCAGACAATGTTTATCTAAAGCTAATGAGGACAGGAGGTGTGTGTGTCCTCTCCAAGCTAAGTAGCAGTCACCTTCTTACGTGAGCAGGTTGATTTTTAATTACTTGATCTCCTAAACAGTTCCTTACATTGATATTTCCTGTCCTAAATGAGGGGCATATATCAAAGCTGTTGCAGCATACACTGAGACACACAGTCACCTTAAAAGTTGGAGCAGGAGTGGCAAAATTAAGCTTTCAGGAAGTAATCTCAGCTGAGGAAAGAGGCCGCTACATCTGCTGTTGAACCAAATGCTCTCTTGCTGCTACATCAGCATTGTCTTTCCACTCTGGGAAACAGCATTTGCTCCTGCTGCAGTGTTTACAATTCAAGTTGTGTCATGAAATCCACCACTCTCTGGTAAACATAAGTGAACCAGATGTTCCTCATCTCTTTAAGTGTAGCTAATATTGTAAATGCCGGTACAATACAGAGGCTAAGTCTGTCACGCTTAGTGGCAAAAGTACTCCAAGAAATGCCTCAGTGACCCAGAAGTTACAGGAAGAGACAGGAAATGGACTCTCTAACATTACCAAAAAATGTAAGTATGAAGTGATAGGATCAAGAGGTAATCAATATTGACTCATCTAATGACTTGGATGTGCAACTTGAAGAAATTACACATAGCAATTTTTCAGCAACTTAGCAAAATTCAGATTACATTTCTCATTCCATCTCATTTTCAATACTGTGCAGGGACAGTGCAACATTTTAGAATTTCAATCCATTTTTATAAGACAGAAGGTAGGATTAAGTTTGATTTCATGACATATAACAACATAATAGTGACTATGTGTGTTTTTTGGTCTGTTTTACACAAGGCTGAACAGTCTACACATTTTCTGTCACGCCAGTTAGATAAAGATGAAAGCAGCATATGCAGCAGCACTGATCTTGCATTATTATAAAAGTTAAACTTTCTTGAACACACATTACTGAAAATAATGAATGTAAGAATTCCTACCTATGATGCTACCCTGGGACTCTAGCCCCATGTCACCAGAGGAGTGCTGGGAAGAGCGTTTGGGAAGTGATTCTGCCAGACTCCGGTGTAAAGTGCGTCGTCTTCGTCTCAGGGCAACTAATTTTCCAGAGTCTTCTATGGATTGATTAATTGCATACTCCTCCATTAGCAGTTCTGATTCTGTAGTGGAAAAATAAGGTTTCTGAACTTCAAAAAGGAATGTTGGAAAGCCTAGCACTAACGACTTACATTGCAAGTGACATGTTTGTGGTGGTAATAAGAAAAAGCACATCTACCACACCCTAACCTACACTGTCTGTCCTCTTTGCTATATGGCACTTGTATGCTTTTCAGATATGACGTGTACACAGTCTCTGCAGGATTGTTTAATAACATATTAAGCAGCAGTTGGAAGAACACATCAAGACACTGTTAGACTGAGACCAGGAATTGTGTCAGACTGCGAGCCAGCAGCCAGAGCTGGCCAGGCTGTTAACAGACATAACCAAGGAGCCTGCCAAGTGCCACTACTCTTCTCATACCCACAAGCAAGGAAATACTTGTGTTAAAGACAGAGGCACGCCGTTGAGAGTAACAGCTTTTCTCCCATTCCTCATGCATCCTCCAGAAAGCAATTGCTGACAAGTTATACAGGAGTTCTTGGCTACCAGGATTATTGATTTATTTATTTTTACACACTCCAGAATTGAAAAGTATATTGATGACAGGAAATTCTTCCGAGTGCTGCCTTCCTTTCAAACCATTATTTAAGGAATCAAGTTTGACACACACGAAAACACACAAAGGAAAAAAGATAGCCTCCTTACTTCAATAAAAAGAAGAAAATGCCTCACCAAGTTGTTTGAAGTTCTCTTGTATCCCTCCCCAGGTGTTCTTCTCAATTACAGATTTGACAAGGCCCCAAGGCTGCTTTTTGTACTTTACTTCTGCAGAAACCCTAATAAACAGAATGCAAATAGTGAAGAAAGGAAGAAAAAGAATGAAAAACAATAGTGCTGTGTTAGGACAGCACAGCAATAGTAGAAATTTCTCATCGGAGGGAAGCCTCCAGCTTACATCCATAGCCTGAAATACCAACTGGAACTGCCTCAACTTTCCACCTGAGCAGCTCTTAGACTGAACTGAAGCAAGAAACAGATGCACGTAAAGACAACATATCCAGTTAAAGCCTCAGGAGATGTGAATGTCCAAATCACTGGAAAGAACTTTTGTTTTTTCTTCAGGCTCAGAGGAAAAGGGAATTTCTCTTCTGTGAACTGTTCTGATTTTAACAAGCATTTGAAATAGCCTTACGAAGTCCTACTTTTTACTCTGTATGTGCATTCATGATATAATACATGAGGCACAGCAATGTAAGCATGTGAAACTACCAACTATGCATCCAGTACTAAGAAGCTACCTTGAGCAGATAAATTGTCTCTTAAGAAGCACAGAGAGGAAATAGCATTCCTGTCTTGTGTTTCCCAGGTTATGCTAGTCAATATTGCTTCTAGAATGGAAAGGTACTCAACTAGAAGTAGTCCTCTGCAGGGTTCTAACAACTGAATGAATCCCAAAGCTCTTCATAAAGATAAAAGGACAATGATAGTCCACAATCTTTATTTATTAAGATCAAGAACACTAACCTTACTGGAATGCACACTTCTCTCCAACTTTTTTTTTTTTTTTACATAATCATCCCAAGCCAAACTCCTACTCTAACAAAACAGCATATTTCAATTAATTTTTGAACCATTTTAAACTGTATAAAGCCAGCTGTAATACCAGCATGCACATTCTGTTCTATATAAGCATGCTACAAAGACTGTAGTCAAACCCCTGGCTTTTGCACTTATTCTAGGGTTGTCTTGTTTCTCAGATAAAACAAATACAGCCATCAAAAAAGATGAATGACTCACTCACTCAGAGTGGCTGTTCAAGGACTCTTCCTTTTTCCACCCAGTGAGGGAGGGAGTCTTCAGTACTTTTATAGCCCAAGATAAGCCAGAAGGAAAATTAGACTTGCATGCCTTTCCTTACCTTATGTTCTGATGAAGTTTGAGACAAAAGGACTTGAAGAAAAACTACCATAGATGACATAGTCTGTCACACAAATGCAGTGGACAAGTAACTTTATCACTTCAGGTGTTTTCAACAAATGGGAGAAGAGAAGGAAGTATATTAAGACTCCTCCATCTACTCTGATGGTAACAGCAAAGCCTGATCTGCTTGAATAGCCTCTCTGTAACAGTGAGTGTGCTTCTTCACCTTGTAATATTATTCTCCCCTGCAGGCCCTTAGCAAGGGTATCTTAGGAACTTTGTTACAAAACATCTGGCATAGTTCTGATTTATCCCTTACACTTACATGACTGCACTTGAAAACATAAGGCTGGGCAGGACCAGCACACAGCCCTGGAAATGAGCTCTGTATCAGCGTCAGAGTTCACATTTCACTGAATTAATCAGATCTAAGTACAGTAGTCATATGACAGGAGATAAACGAAGCTTATTTTTTTTTTTCAGAAGAGATTTCCAACTTCAATAGAAAACAAACCTTTTCTGTGCTGCAGGCAGATCTTTTGGTAAGCACATTTCAGCAACCTGCTTCCTCCCCTCCCACTGCACACCACTCAGGCTCACCGTAATCGACATTTGTGACTGGACGTGCGGCTGATGTAGTATCGGTTCACAGTGTAGAAATAATCATGGTAGGGGACATCGTGGGTCAGTACCTCAGCATCCACCTGATAAGACTGACCTTTCTGGCTCTGCTTGTGAAGGATCTACCACAAGAGATAACAGAAATGGATAGGTACATTCTATATTCATGGAGTCTGATTATTTTTCTTAATTTCAAACCAAACTGCTTAGGTTGAATCAGTCAACTCCAAGTGAACTGGAATAGGTAGAAAGACTGAACAGTTGACAGAAGTCAATTAAGAATGGTAAAGTAGTGGAGGTGGGATGTCTCCAGCCAGAGCCAGCAGGAGGTAATAGTATACCATTCTTCTTCTCTGCCTTTCCTCTTCTCTGAGATTTCGGATACCAAATGCAAGACTGGCCACTGACTCTTGACCACAGTCCTTTGGAATTGAGCTGTGAGATCTTCCCCAAACCACAGTCACAGAAATATTAAGTTTAGATCTGATCCGAGCCACCTGCTCAAGCAGAGAGACCAGGACTATGTCCGTGCAACTTCTGAAGATCCCCAAGAAAGGACAAATAACTCTAACCTCTTTAAGAAACACATGTCAGTGCCTGGCAACACAGTAAAAAGATTGCTTCCTGATGTTCAAAAGGAACCTCTTGTATTCCAGTTTGTGTCCAGAGCCTTTTGGTTTGGCACTGGGCACCACTGAAAAGAACCTGGCTCCATTTTCTTACCACTCTTCCCTCAGGTATTTATGTACATCAGTAAGATCCTGTTTGAGCCCTCTCTTCCAAAGGCTGACCAATCCTGGCCCTCTCAGCCTTTTTCTCATAGAATTTATGTTCCAATCCTTTATCTTCTAGCTCTTCACTGGATACTTCCCAGTAGCACCACCCTGTCTTGTACTGGGGAGCCCAGAACTGGACACTTGAAAGCACTTTCATTTTTTCTGACCGTTCTAATTCATACAAATGGTGAATATACTCTCCCCAGAGTTTTCAGTAGAAGTTCAGCTATGTTGAAATTCAAAAGCCCCTTTGATTTCATCAGCACTTACTCAGTAATAGTGAAAGGGATGGAAGAACACTTTTGAGATCTTGCATTTTAATTGGAGATCCACATTCAGCTCAATGAACTCCAGCCCATGGTCAGATCTGACAGACTGTACAGCTCTCTCTTGTTTTAAATCACACCAACAGACAAACATACAGACAGGTACCTGCTTTTCAGTTGCAGTTGTAAACTTCCCACAGAGTGGATTGTTAATTGTCACAGTGTACGTCAAAGTCCTCAACTGATTGCCGCTGGAATCTCTATTCCAAGGAGTTGATACAGCATCTAAATAATAAATAATGCAGAATCTCACATGCAGGTTACCTGAAAGGCATCATCTCTGCCCTGTCATATCTTAAACTGCAGTTTAAGAACAGTGCAGAGAGAAAAAACAGACTCCAAGCAGTTGGGATTTTTTTTTTCCCAGGAAAAGGGAAAACTAGTTCACTAGCTGAGCAAAAAGCGAGGCAGTAAGTAGCTGAATCTGAGTCTACTGAAAGACTCAAGGGTGCAGAGAAGAGTAAGCAAATAAATGAAAACGTGCTTTTTCCCATCTGCTTAAAAGTTGAATAGATTCACTTAGTGATATTCAAAAGCTTTTGCAACTTTGCCTTCCAAGCTAATACTGAATAAATATTACTCTTTTAACTTAGTTTTCTTACCTTATTATCTCAATGAATAAAGCTTACTCATCCGGAAAATTAAAGCCTGCAAGTGCCGTTTAGGAGGCTGCAATAATTTCATCTGTGCACCAGCTCTACAGATTTCACTATTTCTGGGACACAATGGAATCAGAAATACCCCACAGAATGCAACATTTTAATATCTTATTCAAAGTTCAGGCATCGAGTTAAGGTTTTTTTTTGTTTTTTTTTTTTAAACAGCATTAAATGAAGTTCTTATTCAGAAAGATGATCTACAGAAACAAGCTAGCTTTCAATGTTTACTTTCACAGAGAAAATATAGAGCTTCGAAATTCTTATAAAGCAGAAGGAACAAAATTCAACTCAGTTCTCTTTAACATTTCTTAGAGGTTGAAATTCTCAAGGTAAATTGCAACACAGAAGAAAGAAGAGTACATTACCTACTATACTCCTGGAATTGAGAAACCTCTGCATGAAGAGAGAATTGGTGAAGAGGATTTCAAACATCTTGTCTGCAGTGATGTGGAAAACTCTGTTTATAAAAAGTCTCCCATAGAGATCATTCTCAGAGGCAGTCTCCTTCACTGCTAAAGAAAGGCAGAGGGATCAGGTTAAAAAAAAACCAACATTATGAAGTTTCTTCATAGCATTAAACTTTATTACAGCTCAAATCCTTTCTAATCTTGCATCTGTAATTGCTTCTTATTCCCAGAAACTCAGAAGTGACAGCAACACATCATTTTGTAATAAGATGGCTTTCAGGAGCAAAGTCAAGAGCTGGTTTTCTAGACCCTGTCTCACTATTTCCTTGTACAAATGGCTTGATAAAGCAATAATGCAATGTCTCATCACCTGGAGGAACCTTTTATCTTCAGGATCCTACAAGAAGCACTGGAGAAGACAGTGTTACCACAGTCCTCTTTTAATGCGTGCCTCTTGTGTGAAGGACATGCATAGCAAAGGGGACAGTGAAATCACACTAGCATTCCTTTTAACTTGTGGCTAGTTTCAAAATTCTGCTTTTAAAGTCTATTATGCCAGCAGCATCCACATTCTAAGAGTCCAGGTACAGACTCTCAAATACCTTTCCTCAAACTGTTCCTCCTCCAGTAATTATTACAAGGGAAGCACAAGCGGTACCTTGTTCTATTCTGTAGTCCTGACAAATGCACTGAGGTGCTTTATCATCCTCCCTTATTTCAAACTACCAACAAGCACCCAAAAGCTGTTCTGTGGTACAGCACTGAGCTTTGCTATTTCTGCTGCTTGTTGGTTCCTGAATGGCTCTGCTTTGTGGCTGTTTCAGCCACAAAGACATATGGAACAGAATTGTTATCCTGGAAGGAAAGCAGTTTCCTATGCCAACCCCAACTCAGTTTGCTTGTGTTTTAGGAAAAGAGTCCATCCTCAGCTATCAGGGAATTAAAAAAAAAAAAAAGCCAAACAAAACCTGAAAACCCATCCAAACCCCACCAAAATGCCTGAAAATAAATCTCATGGAAGCAACAGAAAGATAGGACACCTAGCCTTTCAATTGATACAAATAAATGCTCAGAGCTAGCAAAAGGTCACTGCCAGCACACAATGCAAAGGTAGTTTGAATATCATGCTACAGTTCACGAAGTGCCCATAGGCTAAGGTTACAGCACTTAAATCATTATTATTTGGTAGCAGTCAGTATTGATAAATGCAAGTACATCAGGTAAATACCAAAACAGAACTCCTCAGTGAAAACAAGATCTGACTCTGAGCAGACTTCTGCTCTAGCACTGCTTCTAGCCTGCTAGAAGTCCCCATTACACATACACGTGCCACCAGAAAAGTTCTTTGACCCAGCAGGCTACATTATACAACCCCAAAAGCGAAGCATGAGTGAAAACTTTATGCCTGCACAAGAGATGTACTTCCTGTCCTAGGTTCTGCTTATATAATTGCAAAGTGGAACAAGTAGCAAGCACATCTATTAAGACCTGTTGAACCAACCAATAATTATTTGCTAGACTACAAATTCAGCTGTACTGAAACATTCTGCAGATAGCTAGAAGTTCAGCTTCAGTTTTCAATTTATGTTCAGAGACTTTCCTTTCACAGCTGAACCTACCAAAACACAAAACAAACTTCTCTGTCTGACCTCAGCTAACAAGGTTCCAACGCTGCAAAACTTCCTACCACAAAAAGTATTCCCCACTTCTCATCCTCTGCTAAGAAGGAGGGGAAGCTTCAGATATCCTTATGCTGACACCTCCTTCGACTACTGTGCATCAGCTAATTAATATGGAGCCAGACAGTAGAAAATCCAAAGACCATATGTTATTACTTTAAGATCTGTACCTTGCTACTGAAATATTTTTCTCTTCAAGCATGAATCTTTCCTCTTATACTAAGGCTCAAGTTCAAGAGCATCCATGGGTCTTGTAATGTTTACAATTGTGGATGGATTCCTGTTAGCTGGTTTCCCTACACATTTTAAAAATCTATTCCTTACAAGTTATGACTAGGGAATGAGGTGCCAAGTACATGGAAATACCTACTGAGGGATGCTCTTCTTTACAATCTCTTTCAGTTCTTGGAAAACTGATGGCGTTATCACACAAAACAACATTTTCAGAAAACCCAAGCTGGAACTAGGCTGACTTATCTGGCTAATTAGCTACTTAGATGCTAGGATTCAAACAGCCATATTTCAGGAAGCCTGGACACTCTTCAGATGCGAGGCCTGCAACATGCATGTATTAACACCCCAATTCCACACTAGCAGAAGCTGGTCAGTGCAGGTACCGAGAGCTTGACAAGTCACTTTCATCTGGGCTACTCAGAGCGTCTACAGAAATCCTACATGAAGCAGTGAGCACAAACAGTAACATAACTAAAGAATAAGCACACATTACACACTTGCAATTTGGACAGAACAGGAAGCTTGAAAGCTTACCTTTGCTACAAGTAAAAATGCATGTTTGTCTATTTCCTTTGGTTTAACTCACAGGTAAGCGTACCTACTTTTTACTTATCACAATTCTAAGGCAGCATCAAGCAATTCACCTAGAATTGGCTTAGAAATATTATTTATAAAAAAATGTTTATCTTCTTGTAAAAATATCGGTCTAATCCCTTAGCTTTTAGTGCTGTTCTACCCCCGTAGCAGAACGCAATTACCAGCTGCTACCTCTCAGTCTGAAAACATTTATAGATGAATCAGAGATAATGTCTGATAAGAGAATATGAAATGACTGTGACTTTGGGGAAGGATCCTCAGGGACCCAAAAATCCAGAAGCAAATATTACCCTGAATATCCTCATTCTACATAAAGGCAGCAAGCCTGTTCCCTCCCCCACTACTGCCTTGCACTTCATAAGGTCACTTCCATCACTGCAAGGCAAGCTGTGAAATACTGTTTGCAGATAACACTGTTACGCACCAGTGATTGCAGAGGTTTGAAAACATCTGCAGCGTGAGACAAGGAAGAGCCAGAAAACTAGAGGGGAGCAGGGGGAAAAGGGCCCAGGAAAGAAAATCCTGGTCTTTAAATTCCCACTCATAACCAACAGCTCGTGAAGCTAAATGCATGCTGCAAGCAAATTAAAGGAGTTGAACCAGTAAGAAAGAGGCTATCTGACAAATTACTAAGACTTCTGATTTTTTCCACTCAATGGAGATGAGGGAGGGTCAGGGGAAAAAAAATAAAGTATATACACAGCCCTTGGCACTGCCTGGGATTTCTGTGCCACTGGGAATAGGGAAAAAATTGCATACTGTGTGAATAATATGCAGGTCAGAGACTTAAAACAGATGCACTTCAAAATAAGTCAATAAGACCAATTCTTAGACAGAGCATTTTCCAGACACCACCTATTTAAAGATTGCACAGCAGTGTTTGCCATTATAGTAGAATTCTACGATATTTTAAAAGACCAAAGTGTTAAATTAACTTAGAGGATGTATTGAGAAATACTGTTATTTTCCTGCTCACAAGACAAAAAACTTAAACCTCTTTCTTTAGATAATTCAGGACAGATAACTCTCCAAAAGCATAAGCAACAAATTATTGGTAGCTATACATTTAACAGAACATGTGCTGTCATGATTTTGATTAAAATGTCAACAAGGCAACATAGCTACCATTCTGTATGTAAGGCTGTATATTCAGAATTTCACCTCTTGAAAAGAACAGGGCTGAAATAATTTCAACCGAACTATTTCCAACACTTTCTGCATCATATATCCCTATCTACAGGATAAGTCCAACTACAATTGTACCCATCTCACAGTAGGAGCAGTTATGCTCTCCTCTCAAATGCAGATCATGCATGTGAGGTGGTTATTAATACACACAGAAACAAAACAGCATTAAAGTTATTCAAGAAGATCAGGAATTTATGATGTCCCCATACATAGTAAAGCTTTCTACCACAAAAGACTGTTTTCCAGCATCTTATTTCTCCCTTCTTTGTATTAAGTATTTTATGCTGCTGAGCATTGTAGCCACACACAAACTCTACATACAAAAAAGTCCTTTGAGGAAACTCAGAATCTGCTGCTTCTATTTTGGGAATACATATTCTGTGCTTGAGCTAAAATTTATCTTCTGAAATTTATAATTGAGACTGTAGATATTAGCCAAGAGATTTTCATGACTCAAACTTTATCACACTAACCTAGGAAACCAAACATAAGCACCAAGATATAGGTAGAGAAGCTAGTGGTGTACAGGAAGAGACTCCCTTCCCTAGTATGCAGTGCGAAAGTTGCCTAGGACAAGGGAGCTACTTGCCAAGGCTCTGGCATTCCAGCTTTGGGTGTCAGGTGGGCCTGGAGTAAGAGAATTTGCCCCTCACCTTATTTGCCAGGACACAAGAGAGATTAACTGCATGGGTAAACCTTTGCCATGTGGGTAAGCTAATTTCATCTGCATGAAGGAATTCACCTTGTAAAAGTATAGGGCAACTGCAATAGGAAACAGACAGGAAAAAATTCTAAGCATGAAGAAGGGAACCTGTGAGAAAAGACTGATGCTGTGTGACTAGAAAATCCTGCTCTGAATAAAAGAGATTTATCCTGGGGCTGGGTGGAGAAATAAAAGCAGTGTAAGTTCAGTTCTCTTTTAAAGAGACACCTCTATTTAATATGCTCTCTCTGCTCAGCATCAGTTGCAGGGATGACAGCTGTTATTTGCTGCTATCACTTAGGCACACAGCAGCATGAAGACAACAGGACTATTTTCAGTCCATTTCATTGGATACCTTTACTACCAAAGGCTGAAAGAGGCAATACAAAGAAGACAGGAAAACTCAAAATCTCTCAACATCAGAAGGCTGAAGCTTTCTGCAACTTTACAGGATACAACTAAGATTGAGTAAACACTCTGTAAAGCTTGTTAAACATGTACAGGATTAAGCAGCAAATTGCACAAATATGCAGACTCAAAAATGATACAGCTTGATATGTATTGAGTTGAATTTGAACTCAAGAAAACAGAAGCAGTACTGGTGAGCAAAAGGAAAGCTAACTAAAATATAGATATATCGTCAGGCGAAGATCACAACTTGCAAGTGGTGAATTCAGTCGATCACTTTGAAAGCTTTCCTAGACACTCCAGTGATCTCAATCTAACAGCATCTACAAGCACCTTCAATTGCCAACTCTGAAAAGACAGATTAAGAGCTGGCCTCAAACTCAACTGCTCTGCTCCTGCTGCCAACAAGTGAAAGTTCTTTCTCTGTGTATGAAAGAAAATCAGCAGTATATTCAGAAATTGAGCTTTTCTGTCCTTCATTTGCACACGTGTCACTGTCATCCAGTCCAGGTGCAAGGCACACTCTGGCCTTACTCTCTCCCTACAACATGCAAAACCTCTCATCCCCATGAAAGCATGAGAAGTGAACATCACATTGTCAAAAAGTTTTTAATTTAAGATATTAGCAACTTTTTACCCACCAAAGGGAAAAAAAGTATAATTAAAATTTTCACTTTAAACACCTCCAACAATTTTTTTCTCCTCCCAGCATAAGACATTTTTGCTTCAACTCTGAAATACTGAAAAGGCTTACCAAAATCAAAAAGGTCTCCAACTTACTCTACAAGTGAAAAGGGACAAGAATAAGGCAGTCTTATGGATTCCAAACAGTGAAAAGAAATTACCTTCTTCACTATCAGAGGCACTGCTCTTCTCTTGGAGATTTTCATTCTCATTCAGATCCAAGGACTTTTCTAAAGATCTGCTTCTGACTAGCTTAACAGATTTTCTTTCTGAAGATGGAAGGGGGCTCTTTATTTGTTTCTCACTTAGAGACTCTTCCACCTAAAAAATAGAAAGCAATAGGAAAAAAAATCATCAATAATCATAGACCACTGAAAGAAGAAAAACAATAAAAACAAAGCCAGAAATTCTACCTGCTCAGTTACCACACAGTCAAGCACCGATTTCCTCCACCTCAGCCAGCCTCCCTTACTCTATCTCAGACTTTCACTTTACCTTTGTAACAAGACTTGTTTATCAGCTTTTCTTACCAAGAGCCACCTTAAAGAGGCAGTTTACTCCCTATCACAGTTCCTTTCCCTGCATCAATGCTGGCATTTACAAACTCATTAATTTAATGCAGCAATTCACTTCTCATTGGACAGATAGGTTTTTATACTGTTTTAGAAGAGTCCAACAATCCTAAGGGGAAGCACAATGAAGCAGGCAGAGCATCCCTTTTTCACTAACATTTGGTCACCTCAGTTGAATATTTGAAAAATGTTCTTACTCTGTAGGGCTTCATCACCTTTTAACAATGCAAAAAAAAAAAAAAAAAAGAAAAACAATAACACTGCATAGAGTCATGTTGTCTATAAAATGCTACTTCTAGAAGTAAAGCAATGGAGTATCATCTACCATCTCCAGTACAGAAGCAGAGCATGCCCCCCAGCACCAGCCACTGATACAACGATGCAGCTCCGAATCATGAACTACAGTTACTGGGCATTAAGCTTGCACACACCTTGAGAAGAAATTGCTAGTGAAACCACATACACAAGGTTTGTGCATTTCAAACTGCCACTTAAAATACTTGTTTAAGAGTTCTCGTTTTCATGCTAAGCCTTCCCTTAAAGCTCCCATTGCATTCAGTGAAAGAACTGGGATCAAGAACAGTAAAGTCCCCATAGGCAGTAGCGCACAGATGGTATTAAATGAGGTTTCCTTAACTGAGTAGCTCCAATTAATTGCAGTACCATCATCCTTAAAGATTATTCAGCAGTGACTCAAAACCAAAAGCATCCGCTGCTTGAATAATCATCATGTTCTTCCTGTACTACTTGACTTTTCTCAAAAGAAAGACTATTTACTATTTTGTGCAACAGAGAAGCATTAGCAGAAGCTGCATGGCTGGAAAACAGACAAATGCAAATTCAATCACAGTATAAGTGAGCAAAAATATTCCCCAAAGGTGTGTATATATATTGCATCAGCAAAGACAACCAATTAACAAATGCTCCTATTAAAAAGAGCTATATGCCTGAAGTTATACTGATACACAATGGAAATGAGGATAATAACCAACATTTCAATGACAATGTTCTATCAACACATGTAGAAAGGAGCTAGTAGTGGTAAAGTGTCCAGTACTGCTGAGCTTTGTACCCATGTTTTTGACCTGCTAACAGAAGGCTACATGATAGGGAAAACCTTACAGAGCCTTCTAAAGAGGAGCAGAAGGAGGAAGGTGGTTTCTATACAGAGATGACTTGCACTTAGAGAAGCAGACATTACACAATTGGTATTACACAGACCTCATTTAAGCAACCACAGACACTATTGATAATAGCTTTTTCCAAGACAGCCCAAGTGATGCCAGCCAACCCCTTCATTAGTTCAGATCTCTTTCTGAAGTGAGCTTGTGGACTTCTTTTTCTGTCAAAGCAGTAAGGAAGGAGTTAAGCCTTTTTCTCTCCAGCCTCTGGAAGGCAATTATGCTGTGCATCATCAGTGCAATGATATTTGATAAAAGCTTTCTAAGCACTGCCCTCTCCTCTTACTGCCCTTGTGCTTCTACAATATCTGCTATAATCCTAGGCTGTGGGAGAGCATTGGCATTCTTTAGAAACACCAAATGTTTAACACAAACATTATGTATTTTAGCTACACTAAAACAGTGAACACATTTATCAAGATTGCTGTTTTACATTATAATTAAAGAACTTTTTTGAAGGGTGACTGCTAAAAAAAAAAAAAAATCCTAGAATTTAACCCTGCTCACAGATCAAATCCCTGGACATTTCTGCTTACCTACATGCCCAATTAGATTTAGCACCTGCAACTAACATCTCTGGGAGCAACACCTAGTAGGTAAACAAAACACTTTTCTACGCAGAGCCATTACTTTAAAATGACTCGTTCTTGTGCAAATAAGATTTAAACAAGATTTAATCAAGGCTCCCCGGGTAATTTTACTTACTCTAAAAAGTCAGAATTCCCACAGCATCCAGTCTTTCCAAGCCTCCCTTTCAGCTTTCCAAAAAATCTTGTTCTAGATTCCCAGGACTCAGGGACACCAATCTTTGTAGTAACTAAGCTTCCAAACTAACACCGGCTTTGTTCACTGGGTGTTAGTCTCTAGCCACTAACTTGCATTTCCACTGAACTATTTAAAGCCTACTTAAAGTCCAAACAAGTTTTACCAAGTAACAAAAGCCAAAAGACCTTAAGGATAGTAAGGTCTGTTACAAGCATCTCCTTTCTTCCCTCTGAATTTTTTCAAAGCTGAAACAGCAACTAAGTAGCTGATCTGAGAATAGCGAAAGGCTTTGGCGCTCTGTTTGCTTTTCTTTCCCTTGGGGTATCTATTAACCAAGAGAAAATGCCCGTAACCTTTTAGGACTATAACTGCACATAGTAGCCCCAGGAACCACGCTAAATGCTGTGCACAACTCAGATACCATTACTAAAGCATTTGCCCTCTCAAATACAGAATTACACTTACAAATTCATTCAACACCACAAAAACACACGTGTTTGTTCAGTTTTTATTAACTGAAAGGAAGGGGAAAACTCAACCTAACCAAGGGTGTTTTTGTTTTTTTGTTTTTCGTTTGCTTATTTTTAATTTCCTGCTTTCTAAATGATCTCTGCAAGTTTAATTAAGCAGAGGTAAAGTGGAAGAAAAGAGGTTTCATGTATTCACAACAGAAGACTAACTGAACACCGAAGGCAGGGGTACATAGCATAACTCACCCTCTAATAATCCTCATGTATAGCAGGCAAAAGAGCCTTGAGGAGATTTTTTAAATAGAAATAGCACAAGCAAAAACGCACTGGAAGTTAACACAAGTACTACTTTCATAAAGTACTTACATAAAAAGGCACAGGGTACACAGGAAGGTGGATAAAACATGACCAGTTTTGTTTCTACAGTTGGGAAGACCAAGGCCTAAACCTCAGCATTATGCAGTGAATTAGAAACTCACACCAACAATGTTATCTTATCCTGAAGTTTGCTTCCCAAATATATTCTTGAAACCTGACAGTATTCATATCCAATTTCTGATGTGAAAACCTTTTAGGCTACCATGAACTCCCAATGAATTTCACAACTTACAATTCCCATGCATTTTATGTTTACAGATAGACAAGTTCAGCATATTTCTTATCAGTTATTAATAGCAAGAAAGACCGAGTCAGCACTTACACCTGACAACACGTGTCTATTGAGTGACTCTCCTTCTGTTTGAAGTGTGGATTCCCGAACTAAACCAGCTGTTTTAGGTAGTTTGTCATCCCTTTCTCCAGGTTCATCACAAATGCTGGATCTGTCCAAAGGAAGAAATAAGATATATTTGGAGCCATATATGTATCTGTAAGTAAATAAGCTTGGCTTTATAAAACTGAACAATGCAATTCACATCTCCTTTTTAAGCTTTTAATGAGCAATTTCTGCACTCACACAATAGTTATTCTGCTAGTATTAACAGCTACCAGCTAATTCCTCCCACACCTACCTCGTTAACCTCTCAAGCCATGTTTCTCACCATAACCACCTCAATAAATCCAACTTTTGCCTATGTTGTTAGTAAAAACAAAGCACAGGTGAGATAGAAGGCATCCACTCTGCAGAGAAACAGAGGTAGCCTTGAGTGAATTTAGAAAGAAAGTATCTGAAGAAACTTTGAGAGTTTTTTCCTGCATCCATTATTCCTGAGTTGCAAAGTACTGCATTTATTATTATTTTTTTTTTTTTAAACACATAAAACCCAGGAAATACTTAACGGGACACTTTTTGAAGCCTGCAGTGAACTATTTTCTCTTCCTATTACACATACTCAATAACGCAGGAATGAACAAAGAGATGCTGGTTACATTGTTCAATTTTACAAAGTCATTTACATACATATATAAAATTAAAACTGCACTGTTAGAATTACACTGACTGTTCATAAGATAGAGGTCATATTTATTCCAAGAAATCAATAAAACTGTTCCAGAAAGATATCTATATATAGTTTTCTTCTAATTCAACCTAAGTATCATATGTAAAATAAGGTAATACCTGATACATAGGGACAACAAAGCAAGTATTTTAGTCTCCATGGAGCGAGGAAAAGCATTTGAACAGCAGATATAGCTCTATTCCATTCAGCCCTTCCAAACTGTTGAAGGGCATATAGATCCTGACCAAACACTATTAGGAGAAAAAGTTGATATTTAAGCTATCCTGCCCTCCCCCCAGGCAGATCCAGGGGCAGCAAGGTCTTCCTATCTCCCTCTGTAAGGGGCCTCAGTGGTGTTCCTCTTTTAAACAATGAACACAAGTTTTTATGCATATTCAGTTTATGCAGTTCAGTTCTCTGCATCATTTTACTCTAGGCTTAACCTTTCAGGTAAGGCTACAGCAGCTCTTTGGAAAACAGTTTCTAAAAAAAGAGAACATTACTTCCCCATGAGTATATCAATAAGCTTTATAGTCTCCACTTACCGACACTGCCCATTGTCCTCAGATGATGAGTGGAAGCTCTCCATCTCCTCGGTGTTCAGGCCCAGCTCAGAGCCATAGCTCTGGTGCACCAGCTGCCAGAATTCCTGCTTGGTCAGCCTCTGAAAGAAAGCGAGCTAGTCAAGAACTATGCTATGGAGTAAGGCACAGTAGGTAAAACAGTAAGAAGTTTGAATTACGCCACAGCCTTTAACCTTGCTTCTGACAAGGTCTGCAAGCATTCAGGTATCACATTTCAAGATTAGATTTCAGCATTTTGGGGAACTGAACTCCCATCTACTTCATGTTCCCAACCCATCACTGTTCAACCAATAATACCAGACGTTAAAAAAACTAGCATTTCAAGAAAAAAAAATGCCTGTAGTTGAATCTTCATTTGTCACCAGCGTTTTCAGAAATATCTTCAAAGCATCCCCTCCTGAGTTTTACAAAACACGGCACAAAACCAGTAGCTAGCAGACAGCCAGTCACTCCCTCCTCCTTTGATCCCAGACAAACATTACAGATCTATGCCTGTTTCCTTGGGATGTTCAGACCACTCTACCAGCAGAGAGAAACTAGCACTTCAGTCACTGCAGACATTAGTGCTAGCTCAGCCAGCAGTCCATCTCACCAAGGTGGGGCAGCAGGTGGGACACTGCCACAAGCTCCATAGGTATAATACCTTGTCTCACAGCTGGCCGCTCTTCTCTTTCCCTATAAGCTCCGTCAATTCCACGTTCTCTCTGACCATCAGGAAAGTTAGGGAAGTGAGTGTTACAACCAACTCATATCAGCAAAGTAAGCAACTAGTTTCAAAGTCCACTTTTTCTGGCAGGAAAGGGCCAAACCAGAAAAAAAAAAAAAGGTAATGCAGTAATATTGTTTGTGTATTTAGTCAAAGAAGACAGGCATCGCACTGGAAAATGTGCCGCAGTCACGATCCATATTGATCAAGGGAACAGAACCATGCTAATGAGGCAGTAACACAGGTCTGCTTACTATTTGCATGAAATGATCACATTAAATACTCGTGCATTATTTAAAGGGCTTTTAAGCGATCCTCTCCACCTCTCTGCTCCGCCTGCAGTGTCACACTACCTACAATTTTAGCCACCCAAAAAAGGCCGCTCCACAGGCACCAAGGTAAACGCTCACCTACACACGGTCGGTTCCTCACGCCGGGTGGCGGCCCCGCTCCATACGCTCTCCCCGCCCAGCACGCACACGGACACACACAGCCCGACACTTTCTCCTCTCAATCGCCTGCCGGCTCCTCCCCGTCGCTCCCGGGCCACCCCGGCCCGTTCCCACTTCCTGCTCGGCGGCAGGGCCCGGCCCCACAGCCGCAGGGGCTGCCCCGGGCCGGCGCCGCACGGCCCCTCTCCCTCCTCCCTCACGGGGAGGCGCGAAGCCACGGGCGGCCTCGGCTGCTCTCTGAGGGGACAGACGTCGGGCTTTCCCTCGAGCGTCCCGCTGGCACAGATCGCTCCCTTTACTTGCACCGGGGACAAAGGAAGCGTTACAACACTGAACGCGCACCTAGAGAGCACGGATCCTAACAGTTAGCACCAGCCTCCACGGCCCCGTGAGATTTCTTGCGGGGCAGCATGCACCAAACGCACAGCTGCCTCACCTTCCTTCCAGGGACGCTGTGTGCTTCAGCTTTCTCTTTAAGTGTCTGAATACACCCTTAGAGCCCGCCTGTTTAAATGGCAGGCACAAGGCTGCCTTCATTCTGTTGCCCAGTACTTCCCCAGCTTTTTTTTTTTCCAGTCCTAAGAGACAATGGCTAAGCACCACTACACTCATCAGCACGGTCTGCCATCAGTCTGCGGGCATATCAGCCTGCCCTCGTACAGGGAACTCAGTGGTTCACAGAAAAGAAAAACTACAAGCTGTGCATTTTAGGAATCTATAAAGTTGCTTCTTATGGTTTTAAAAAGTCAATATTACTAACTTCTGTTTCTAGAGCCAGGATTCTTGCAATCTACTCAATTATTTCTAGCTCAGCTAGATACAGTAAGTCATTAAGTGTCAGCCCAGCTTAAAATCAGACTTGCTGTACTGTAATCAGAAAAGATTAGTTCGAAAGGCAAAGAGGGCATGACTTTTCTGGCTCAGATTTCTGTCTCTGAACAGAAGCAGTCTGGAGTAGCTCTGAAACTTGTAAAGCTGAAACTAAACCCAGATTACTCTGCCCACTCAAGGTGATGGTCTGTGCTATATTATTTCTCAGTTCTTTGTATTCAAAAAAAAAAAAAAAAAGACTACAAGCAGCAGTGGTGCACGTTTTTGTCCTGGAACACAGTATCAATACTTCATGTCACACCAGTCAAAGTGGTGGCATCAAACAGGCTGTCCTACAAAATACCATAAGCAAAGCTACTGATTTTTACCCCCATGGACAGGTGCAAAAGTAAAGACAAGATACTGCATAAATGTTTAATCCAGAGACACCCCACACACATAAACACACTCTCAAACTAGGCAACTCTAACATGGAATGTTGCCCAATTTCTTGATTACAATGGCAAAGGGTAACAGAGAAAACTCAGTTCAGTTAAAACTGCCTGAACATGAAGGTCAACATCGACCTGAGCCCTCTTTGATCTCTAGAACAGCCTTTTCTGAATGCAAAGGTGCAACAAGTTTTTTTCAAAACCTTGTCTTAGAATCTGGTTGATTTGCTGCCCCGGAGGATGTTTGCACAAGAATCCCAGTTCAACTGAAGTTCTGGTCCCTTCTCACACCCCCAGACTTATCTGCTTCAGCACCTGGAGACTGGTGCAAATCTCTACCAAGCAAAGCAAAGGAATAAAAGGAAAATAATTCAACTCTAAGGACAAGGACTCACAGGAATTGAGACTGAGTTAAGATCTTTTTCTATTAGAAATAAGGAACACTGTGTTTGTTTGGAATTTGAATAATCTGCTTAATTATATTTTAATTTGTTCTCTCTCTTTCAAACTGGAGGGATATTTGACATCCATGAACTTCAGGAGAATAAAGCAATAGTATAAATGGCATTGCTCTTTCGATCATTGACAATCATGACTAAAGTTGTTTCTGCCAATTTGGAAAGCCTGTTGAAAAGCAGGAATCATGGCTGATTTAATAAACTGATGCATTATTTAAAGTCTCAGTGGATGGGAAAGCTGCTATCTGTTTTATCAAGGTTGGTGTCATGTCTCTTCCAGACCTACATTAATGATTCCTTATTTTCCATGATGCTTCCCTTCCAAACAGAAGCATTTCAAAAACAATGGCATGGTAAAAAGCTAGAAGGTTCACTTTGACTACCTTTTGCAATGGGAATTAATTAAATGTGGATTTTTTTTTCCCCTCAAACAGAAGTCTTTACATGGACATTTTAAAAAGAGAAGTGCCATCTCAAGAGGAGGCTACCCACTGGTTCTAGTTCTAAAAGGAACCAAAGTTGAAGGGCATCAAGTACAGAGAAGCTATGAGCTACAGAATTGCAGCCCAGCTAAAGTGATCAGGAATCCTTACCAGACCATGAAAAAGTTAGAGGACAGCATCTTGGCCTAATTAAGCTTAGAGTAAATGGCTACATGCTATTTCATGTCTTTCTCCTACACAATGAAATTTCTAATCAAAAAGGCAGAGTTCACAGAAGGCTACTTGTTGAACTGTCTATGAACATGACACTTAAGTACAAGGCAAAACGGCCACAAGATGGAGATCTGGTAAAGAGCATGCTGACCCTTCTGAGAAGTTCTGCAGGGGGTAAAAGCTTAGGGTATACCGAGTAAAGCAGGTAAGTCACTCTTCATCAGAAGTGAGACCATGTAATACAAACTCAACAGCTAGGAAGTTCTGAAGAGGTCACAGCTAGCATCTGTTGACAGTTGTGCTAACATGATTTGAAGCACATGCAATTCCAAACCCCAGGATCAAAATCTGCAACTCTGGGATTATCTACCATCAGGTGGTGCAAACTAACACTGTGACAGTTGCTTGCAGTTTCCTTCTGACAAGACATGAATAACTTTATTTCATAAAGTAATAGTACCATGTCATTGCCTAGACTGGTAGATATATTCCAGAGAATAATTAAATTATCCATAGGGTTTAAAACATTCAGCTGCTAGCAGAAGGAACATTAAAACCAGCTCCTTTTGGAAATGGTTCCAGGGAGATCATTATGTTGTCACAAGCATCACAGATTCTGACAGGATCTCTTTGACAACTACATCCCAGAAACACCAGGCTCACAGCACTGCGTACCACACCAGAGCCTCAGAGGTAAGACATACCTTTCAAATGTATACTGTCCCTGTGATGAGGGCATGTGCTCATCTACTCGGTGCCCCTCTGTAACTTGATCTAGTTTGAATAAGCAGTCAAGATTTTCATAAATAGATTAATTTTGCCTTAATTGGCACTTTCCTTGATTTTCAGCTTTTGGTTATACAAGTGCCTCTGGGCTGCCTTAACATTCATTTAACCAAAAACGTCTCTAGCAACTGCATAAGTACTGCAACATCTTTAAGCCTTTGGGTACCAGTGCACTACAGAGTTTATATAGAGATATTTCAGTATTCAACTGCAAATGTTGGAATATTTAAACAATGAGAGCCATAAACAGGAAGGAGATGGTTTTCAAAAATTGCATTACTTACACTGATGTTCTGCAACAAAATTGTCAGTACATTTTTAGAAATATTAGCTTATGTGCCCACAAATTGAAACATAAATCAACCTAACAAACAAGAGTTGCCAAAATATACTCCCATATCATTCAGCCTACTTTTGTTGCATTTATTCAAGGTCAGGGGAATTTTAATGAATGGCTGGCAGAGGTTCTACTAACTTATCTGAGAAGGTGACTTTTGGTTTTGTTTTTTTTTTTCTTAAAAGGAAAAGAAAGTTTTCACTGAAAAAGACACTTGATTTCAAGTTAGCTATAGAAGTCTTGAAGGAAATACATACGAATACCTGCTTAAGTTAGTTTAGAGAAGCATGCAACCTATCTTCAAAAATAACCAGCAAAGCTATACACAGCAGTATAAAGGTAAAATGGATAGGAAGCTTATTTGTCATCTGAAGTACAAGGAGGCAAAGGAGACCACAAGGTTAGAATTTTGTGTCAAGATGGAGTTAATTTTTTCTTCAGGAAAGCCTTTCATCCTCTCAAGGTGCATCTCCATATATTACAAAAGATTCTTTTGTTATTTAACCACAGGCACCAGCACTTAGAAGCTTACCTTATCCAACAACACATTCTGCCATAAGCGAAAGATACTGAGGTAGCTTCTGTCTCTTGCACTGAACGATGTGAAGAAAAACTGCAGAAAAAAAAAGTTTGAAAAGCTCAATTGTAGGTATTTAAGAAAACCACAATGCTTCCTTATACCTTAAATATACTAAGGTTTTCAGTCATTGCATGCTCCTCTCATATTTCTCACGCTGAACACTTTTTATCACTTTTAATTCTTGCTTATTAAATCTCCAGTAGTCAGAGAAGTAGTATTTCCTAGCATCCAGCCTAAATCTCCCCTGGCACAGCTTGAAGCCACTCCTTCTAGTTCTATCACCAGTTACATGAGAGAAGAGGCTGACACCCAGCTCACCACAACCTCCCTTCAGGTAGTTATAGAGAGCAATAAGGTATCCCCTGAGCCTCCTCTTCTCCAGACTGAACAATCCCAACTCCTTCAGCCGCTCCTCATAAGGGCTGTGCTCCAGACCCCTCACCAGCTTTGTCGCCCTTCTTTGAACACGCTCCAGGGCCTCAACATCTTTCTTGCAGTGAGGGGCTCAGAACTGGACACAGTACTCAAGGTGTGGCCCCACCAGAGTTGAGTACAGGGTGACAATCACTTCTCTGGTGACTCTGGTGACGGTGGCAACACCGTTTCTGATGCAAGCTAGGATGCCATTGGCCTTCTTGGCCACCCATATACACTGCTGGCTCATGTTCAGCCGAGCATCAATCAATACTCCCAGGTCCATTTCCTCTACGCAGTCTTCCAGCCATTCCTCCCCAAGCCTGTAGCATTGCCTGGGGCCCTACTGATCCGTCTGTAGGGCCTTGCTACTCCCAAGTAGACTGACACTTCCAGCCAACTTGGTGACATCCACAAACTTACTGAGGGTACACTCGATGCCCTCATCCAGGTCATCAATAGAGATATTGAAGAGAACAGGCCCCAGCACCGACCCCTGGAGAACACCATTCATGACAGGTTGCCAGCTGGATTTAGCTCCATTCACTACCACTCTCTGGGCCCAGCCTTCCTGACAGTTCCTTATCCAGCCAAGAGTGTACCCGTCCAAGCCACGGGCTGTCAGCTTCTGCAGGAGAATACTGTGGGATACGTGTCAAAGGCCTTGCTGAAGTCTAGGTAGACTACATCAACAGCCTTTCCCTCATCTACCAGATGATGGGTCATTAGATCATAGAAGGAGATCAGGTTGGTCAAGCAGGACTTGCCCTTCGTAAACCCATGCTGGCTAGGCCTGATCCCCCAGCTGTCCCGCACATGCCACATGATCTCTCTCAAGACAATCAGCTCCATAACCTTCCATGGCACTGAGGTCAGGCTAACAGGCCACATTCTCTTTACAACCCTTCTTATAGATGGGAGTCACATTGGCAAGCATCCAGTCTTCTAAGACCTCGCCAGTCAACAAAGAGTGCTGACAGATAATGGTGAGCAGCTCGACTATCACCTCTGCCAGTTCCCTCAGCACTCTTGGGTGAATCCCATCCAGCCTCATAGACTTGTGACAGTCCAGCTGGAGTAGTAGGTCTCTGACTGCATCCTCCCAAATTGCAAGGGGTTCTGTCCGCCCTCCAGCTGAGACTACCAAGTCAGACAATGGAGTACCCTGAGGATAACTGGTGTGATCTTTAAAGACAGATGTAAAGGCGGCATTCAGAACCTCTGCCTTTTCCTTATCCTCAGTGGTCACATTCCCAGCCTCATCCAGTAAAGAATGAAGATTCTCCGAGTCCTCCTCTTACCACTGATGCATTTGTAGAAGGGTTTCTTGTTCCTTTTAACCCCAGCGGCCAGACTGAATTCAAGCTGGGTTTTTGCCTTTCTGATTTTCTCTCTACACATCTTAACTTCTCTGTACTCTTTGAGTCACCCATCCCTTCTTCCACAGGAGGTAGATTCTCTTTTTCTCCTGGAGCCTCAAGAATAGCTCCCTGTTCATCCACACTGGTCTTCCCCGATGGCTCATTTAGCGGCTCAGGGGGACAGCCAGCTCCTGCACCTTTAAGACTTCCTTCTTGAAGAGTGACCAGCCATCTTGGATCCCTTTACTCTCTAAGACTGAAACCCAGGAGATTCCCCCTACAAGCCTTCTGAATAATTCAGTCCACCCTCCCAGTGTCCAAGGTAGCAGTTTTGCTGTTTCCCCTTCTGGCTCCTCCAAGGATCAAGAACTCTACCATTTCATGGTCACTCTGTCCAAGACAGCTCCTGACCTCCACATCTCCCACCAGACCTTCTGTTTGCAAACAGCGGGTCAAGTGGGGCAGCTCCTCTCGTTGGCTCTCCCGCGTGAAATCTTTTCACATGGGATGTGAAATTACAATAATTAAGATAGGATATCAAATTAATGTGTCATTTGTAGTTTCAAACTATTTAGAAGTTGGTTCAGTAGAGGAAAAAAATATCTTCCTTGATGAAAGAAGTTAATCTTTTTAGAAGAAATTGAGAGGGAGCAGCCAAATGTGGAACAACAGGAATCATAGCCCCTTCAGAGAGAATAGCTCCACAATCATCCTAGAAAATTATCTTCTGTATCCAGTCAAGAAGTCTCATTTTTGAGGCATTGCCAGAAGAGGTAACATGAAATACACATTGGACACGAGCATTCTGCATCACACTTCTCAGTTTCATCCAAATTCAAGACCCAGATAACAACTATATCCACCATATAAAATTGGGTAGTTCACATGTAGATTTCTCCATGACTCAAAGCCTATGTATCACAGTTCTTTCACTTTCAGCAATTTCTTATGGAACATTTAAATCTGATGAGAACACAAAAATAACAAATTCAAAGACATTCTGAATTAATTTCCTGTATTTTAGTTTTTAAGTAGACTTTGATAACCAGTAGGACAAGAATGCCCCTTCCAGGTTACTGCATCAGTGTTAGCAGTGGGGTCTGTAATCAAGCTAGAGTTATAGTTTGGTCTCTGTGCACATCAGCTTTCAAGTCCGCCTTCTAATTCTAGTAACGTTTAAAAACTTGACAGGAAAAGCTACTTATTCAAAACCAGAAGTGCTCAGTTCTGGAAATTATCATTTAAAAAGACAAATGTATTTAGATTCAGGTTTTCACCTTCTCTCCTTTTGTTGCTATCTGTATGGCATTTGGAATGAGCCGAGCAGTCTTTTCCTTTGTCATGAAAGTGATATCCTTCAAAGCAATAGAAATCTAAGCAGAAAGAGAATAAATAAAATTTTTAGATTTAAGTTATTTTCAATTTACAGAGTCATAGAACACGCAAGAAGAACTCAAACTTTAATCCCAAACACCAGGATGAAATACAAATAAGATTTTGAAGGCAGTTGTCTCCATTTGCTAACCTTCACAGCAAGCACTCCAAATTTGGAGCAAATTAAGTTGATTTAAGAGTGATTTCCTCTTCTTTCATATTAGGATTGGAGAAGCAAGTTGTTCTCTCTCTTCTTTCCTTTCACCCCTACAGCAGCACTCCACAATGAAGGGCAAAATATCAACTATATAAAACCATACAGGCTGTGATTTCAAACGGATTTTTTTTTTTTTTAAATATCATGTCTACAAGAAAATTTTGATCATCAAATCCATCTGATGAAATTATCATGATGAAATCTGATTTTTAAGTGAGCATTTACATATCTTCTTAAGCACGCAAACTATTTGTTGCAGGTATTGTATACATCAAAACAGACAGAATTCAAGAGATTAAGTTCTCAGCTGCATGTTTTGATACATCACCATCACCTGTAACTGGGCTACCTTCCATTTCTCTTCACTTCTTATGCTATTTCTTCAGTAGGTGCTTCCATGAAAACTTAACTCATTAAGCTAATTTCACAGAAAGAGAGCCAACATGTCACGGACATCTACTTCTGCTTATACCAATCAAAAGCTACAAACCACAATGTGAGAACTGGTATCGAAGTTTTTTTCCAGACTGCCTATAGTTATTCTTACATGCTGATACTTTGTATATATACATACGTATGTATATATATGTGTGTGTGCGTGTATATATATGGCAAGGCAAATCATTAAAGAACCGTAAAAATCAGCTTTAAGATACAAGAAGAAAACAATTGCCAAATGTCTTCCTATACTGAATGACTGAGCAGGCTTATTTCTGCACATACATCTCCAAGACTACTCTCATTTTATGGTGCAACAGATTTGCATTTCCACTCAGGGATATAGGCTCAGCATGAGATGGACAGGATAAGAGTCCCTCAAACCAATCTTACATCCTGATACTACAAGAACAAAAATGGACTTCAAGTACACTAAGAAATCTTACTGTAGTCTCCCATCGGAAAATGTTGCTGTGGAAACAGAGCCAGTTTTCAGAGAGATACAAGCGTCCTTGCAGCAGGATATCCTTCTGGAGTGCACAAGCATAATCTACGTATAGAGAGAAAGAGCAAGTTTACTCACTTTTTACAGTTCAGTAGACCCAAGCATGTTAACTTAAAATGAGATAATGGTATTACAATGCAAATCAAAATCCATTTCTTTCACTCTTTTCAACTCTGATGGCAGACTTGCATTGGGTTGCACCCAGATCATTGTTCTGGGAACACCTCAAGGTCAGAATCAATGGAAATACCTGTATAAAAGACAATATTCCATATACTGATCCCCTGTGCCTTATCCTGTATTTTCAGTGAAGTAGTAAGAATACATAGGAGAAATATTCACAAACATTAGTCAAGCATTAGAGAGCCTAAATAAAACAATACACAGACAATTTATACTATAACAGATTATACCACCAACTCCTATGTAAAAATAGTTCATATATAGTCATTCAGCAATAATTTTCCACTACAGCAATAATTTTCCACTGAACAGCTCCTATCACTAGCTAAAGCTATCTGCAGAGTAAGACATTAAAGACAGCTTGAAGCAATCCAGTTCTTTAGGCAGGGAATATTTTCATCACTTGACTGTCGTTTTTTATTATGATACTGCCTCAGGCTGAAACATCCCTACTAAGGAATATTTTTCATCTGGAATGCAATTACCCATCATCAGATACCTGCTGATCAAAACTGAGATATAAGGATTTGCTTGCACTTTTAAATCTTTGAGAGAATTTTCATGAAGAGCCTGAAGAGTCAAACACTTCCAGAAGCACTCAGTACTAAAGTGAGCGTATGGAAATAAATGTCAAAGTTCCCTTCAGTCATACAGAAAGAAAGTTAAGTCTGAAAGCTCCAACTTAGGGGTTTTGTTATGTTTCTTTCTGTACATAACAGGCATCTGTTCACACAGAACTTTACTGATTTCAACTGTAGAAGTATTAAAGTGTTTATCCCTTTTTTATTTTGAAAAACTCTTATTTTCCAAGTTATCATTTTTATTTTGTATGCATCAAAAAGATGAATAAGTTCTTGTCCAATCTGCAAGAAGTCTCTCACCATACTAACGTAATGGTAAATATGCATCTGCAAAGTTTTCACTACAATTTTAAAAATTCTCCTGAATTTTCCCTCAAATGAGTAGAAATAAAGTTTCTCACAAGATGCATGAAGCATACATACAAGCCCAAACAATTTCATGAACTTAAATTCCAAATGAATAAAATTTCAAGTGCACATTTAAAATTCAAGAAGAGTCCAAACCAAAGTGCTGGAGAGATAGAGAAGGCAGCAAGAGTCTGAGGTTAAGGACTTCCAGAAACTAATACCAAAATGTTTCCATCTAACCTTTATGTTTGGAAGACTGGCACCTATTTAAACCTATAAGTACTGTCTAGTACTTTATGGAACCATCTTACTACTTTTTCCTCATCCACATACTAGCTAGATACCATACTAGAAAAAATATTAAAAAAAGATACTCCTCTTTTCTTGCAGAGCTAGCACAAAATTACTCCCCTGGGAGGCTTGGGCAAGTGACAAGCAACACCATAGCCTACCTACAAAAGACAATGTCAAAGCAAAGGAAGAGGTTAGCATTTCTCCTTTTGTGTTATCAGATCCAGTAACTTATGATGCTACCTATAAACAACAATTTTCAGACAAATTAAAGTTAGTGGCACTCCTTTAAACTCCCATTTTGAAAGTCTAAACCTTTTATTGTCATAGAATTATTTCATATGATCTTTGAAAGTAGATTGCTCCAAAAGTAATGCTTCCTATTTATTTCCATGAACATTACAACAGCTACAAAGCACAACAACACTTTGATACAGCAAATTCTCAGCTACAAAACACTACTGCTCAGCACAGTCACCAGTTAGCTATGCACTTTCATTAGCTAAGAACAAGAGCCTGCATGCTGCACTCAAAAATCCACATCAAGGAGATGGCTTGCTGTTTCACATGTTCTGTGTAGCATTGTTACTAGGAAAACATTGTCCATGTCAGTGTGGACAGAAGAAAGTTGGAAGGAGCCAAATCTGTAGATTTGACTATACAGACTATACAGTGGATGTGACAAAACGGTCCAGCCAAGACTGGCAACATGCTCCACAGTCTTCAAACCGGTATGAGGCTTGATGTTACAATGTTGCAAGAGAAAGGCTGTCTTCTTTTCTGGCCTGACTCTTTAATCAGAGCCTTCAGCTTAGTCAGCACCAGCAGTTTGTCCAGTTTCCACGATATCCAGAAGGATTATCCCTCTCCTACCCTAGAAGACAGTAACATACAGTACTCATCACTTTACTCACCAGAAGCTGCATCTTAAACTTTTTCCTTCAACGGGGAATTCATATGTCACCACTCTACAAACTGTAGTTCTGACTCTGGCTTATAGTGGGGATACCAATATCTCATACACCAGTAATGATGCAACCCAGGAACTCACTTTCAGCCTCATATTGGTTCAACAGGTCCTGACAAATTGCTTACAGTGTTCTTTCTGTTCTGGATGAACACTCATGGGATTCACCTGGTGCAAGCTTTGTGATACTGCCACCATGGTTTCTAATACATTGAAGCTGATACTCAGCTCTATACAATTTCCTGGTCACAGTCTCTGATTCACATGGATGAGCTGACCCAGAACACGGACCATATTTCATGTTGCAGTCACTACTGCTGAAATGCATCACCCACTGCCTCACTGTGCCTCACATTCACTGTTTAGTCTCAAAACAAAGCCAGTACAACCACAGAATTCCTACCTTCTCTCACAGCATCTATAACAACTAATTCAAACCATAATTAATTTCCTCTTCAAAGAGATACAGAGGACTCTTCACACACTCAAAGGATAGAAGATGAGCAATTACAATGCTTCAAGAGTTACCAAGTCGGTCATTCACACTGAAAAGAACATAAAACAAATGCAGTGCTCTTAGGATTTAATTCTACCTCTGTTCTCACACTTATATTGCACAATTCAATACAAGTATATTACACTCACAGGCTAAGTCCTCACCATGATCCTGCAGAGTAACTCCTTCTTCCCAGCTTGTCAGCTAACATGCACCAGTCACACCTTCATCAGTTCCAGTGGGTATTTTGTCACTCAGTAAAAAGTAGCAGTAGTAAAAGAAATCAAGAAGCTTTCACCCAATATATGGATAAACCAGATGATTCTGTATATTTTTCTTCACTTCTCAACCCAAACAACATTCTGTCTTTTTCAAAAGTAGGCAGTAGACGAAAGAACTTTGGGCCTGGCTTTCCCTACAGGTATTTGATAGTAGTTCAGAGACAGGAGAACAGAAAATTCTCAGCTACAGATTGAATACGCCATTAAAAAAAAGCCTTGGTATAGCTGCAGTCAGAAGTTATCAGCCTAACAAAAGAGCTTTTGGTGTCATTGTCTTACCTACTATGAGTCTCTCTGAATCTGGCAGATGAGAAAACTGCCTCTTGAATTCCTCACTCCTATATTTGTAAGTGGAACTTGAGAGCTGCAACAAAGAATGGCAAAAGGTTAAGCAAACAGATTTATTTTCAGCCATTAACTGTCTTCATACTAGATCTGTAACTTTATCTTAAAGACCAAATTAACATCAAAGGAGCAATAAGGAATAAGTGGTATCTAAATGTGACAACGTCTCAGCCACAATCTTCCCTTATACAATACTGTGCTCCCAGAATTTAGGATAGGATGATCCATGCTGTATGAGGCCAGATGCCGGTTATAAGGCATTACAGCTGCTTGATGTCAACCTATTCCACTCAAAAAACACAAGACAGCCTTTGCAGGGCTAAGTCTCTTCTAGCATAGACTCAGTGAAGAGAGAGCAAAACCACAACACGAGAGGTGACAGAGCAGATCAGGTCCTCACGCAGGCCACCAGTTGGACAGAAGGATACCACCTACAACACCAATTTCTAATTAGAGTGCCACTGAAGAAAGATGTTACTATAGAAGGGATTTTTGCTAGTTGCTATAACTAGACCTGTAGGAATAAAAGCCAAAGCTTCCTTCTGTATGTACAATCATCAGCACCACTATCACTTCTTGATTTCCTGACCTGGGCTACTTCACCATGCATTTTAAAATAAGATCAAGATCTAGGATTCATTTAAGATGAAATTTGTGTGGTAAACTCGCAGCAGAGCACATTCATCCAGGTGGCCTTTAACTTCTCATTCTTATAAATGAATGTCCCCGCTCCCTTTCAAATGAAAAAAGCCTCCACATGTTCTCCAGAAACAACTCTGCTGTAAAAGCCCTATTTTTCACTGTACAGTAATAATGAGGTCTCATTTTTTTTCCCTAATAGACGTTTACCACTTCTTCTAAGGGCCTTACTGATGAAATGTTGCATAAGTCAGCATTTCAGTCAAATTATAGCTAAGATAGGCAGAAGTCACTCTCAAGCAATACAAGATATTTTTTTTTTTAGTTAGTTTTTTTTAATAGTCTGATTTTTAAGCTTTTCTGAAGATCTTAACAGCATACGGCTGCTATTCTTCCCCAGAGCACCTTTTTCATTCTAGAACTTGGCATATATCTTAAACTCATTTCTGTTAAAAGATCACTGGCTATTTATTTTCTGGATGGGGGAAGAAGGGTGGCAGAAGAACCATTTTTGACCATATAGCCTTACAGTATGTTTACTAGAAGACACTCAGTTTTGGCACTCCTGCAGCACATCAGTTGGTCAGTAACCTTTAGATACATCCATGGTTGCTTTTATAGTTCAGAATGCAATTCTTACACCACAAGTATGGATGTTTAAGTGAATGAAATACACCAAGGACAGTTTCCAACACAGTTTAGCTTTAAAAAGATACTGAGTTCCTGAACATTACCTCATATTACCTCTAATAACAGAAAGTCTTTGTGTCTGACCTCAAGAGAGCACACACTTGCTGTCCACTAATATTCTGAGCACTGTAAATGAAAAAGGCAGTGAGGGAAACAGAGAAAATAGGTACTTCTCCCAGAAGGGGAGAGAAGGAAGAATGAATGCTTTCGGTGCAACCAACAGGGCTATCTTAGACATGTCCTCTAAGCTATATGCTTATACTGTTTTATTACTGCTATTTCTTCTTCTTTTTTTTTTTTTTTTTACTGCTATTTCTGAAGTTACAAGTGTTTTATTATTTGAGTACATGTCATCTGTTAATGTAGATGAGCTGTGGTTTCTTGGCCTTGTCATGTCATATTATGAAGCACACGTTTTTCACTGATCATCTGAAACAGATATTCAAGGACTGCATCCCATCAAGAAGAAGTTGTTTCCAATTATTCTAAAGAAAAAAAAAAATAATAAGACATGGGAAAGAATTAAAAGCTACCTTGAATTTGTGAAGTTTCTGCCTATAGTTGCAGAGATACACATTGCATAGCCACGACTGTCAGACTGATGTCTGAACCTATTCAATAACACTAACTCTGTAACACTACTTTAAATATGAGAAGAGAAAAAGAACTCATCTGCCATGAGAACAGAAGAAAATTGAAAGTCTTCCAGTCTGACATATGTAGCCATACTTTAAAGATGAACTTTCTCAGAACTGAGAAATACTGAACAGAACTGAGCTACATTGAAAATCGACCATTTCTGTGGTTACAAGACAAAAGGAATCAGAAAGAGAGAATCAAAATGTTACAGAATCACAAACACTTTTATACCAGTGCCTGAATCAGCCAGTTCAAGAGCTACAAGAATCCAATCAAGAATCTTGAGTTTTACTTAGAAATGGAATTTCTTTAGAGCATAAAACCTGCTGCAACTTGTCTGAGAATCCCTTACTGCCACTGATGAGTGTTCTTTGTCACACGATAAGCAATAAGAAACACTCTTATTAATTGTACTTTTCTATGAAGCTCTTAGAATGTTTATGAAAAACCTGCTCCAAATCCTTATCTAATCAGCAGAAGAAAAATGAGCACATTGAAGCTTTTTAACCTTATCTTTTCCTTATTTTGTACGAAGAGTAGCTCACTTAGATTTGTAATTATTACGCGCTCAGCATGTGGCTTGGTGATTAAGACATCAGTCAATGGACTCTGGAAACAAAAGGAGCATTTTTAATACAACTGGGAATACCAATTTCCTTCAAAAGAAGAAAACAGACATCTGCATTTATGTGAATATAGCATCTCTCATATCACCATTAAAATATTCATAACACAGCAGTGTTTCAGGCAGGTTGCCACCCCTCCAGGTTACAAAACTTACCATTAAATATTAAAACAAGAAAAGCTGACATTAGGCTGCACTATAGAGCTTAACAGAGGAAAACAGCCGTTTTTAATACATGTACATTTTTAAGTTTAATTATAAGTCATCAGGAAAACACTTTGCCTCAGGATAATCTTAGGCATTTCTGGGCACGCTATATTTGATCACTAAGCAAAACATTAAGTCCAGTCAACAACATACTAGTATTCTTTATCTGAAGCCAAAAAGTACACCAGACATCTATAAAACAACATAAGCAGAAAAACCTCTTCAGCATCATCCAGGAAGTTTTATAAAGGCAGTTACTTAAGAATCAGGTACTATCTGAAGACACTGAACCAAAAGATTAACATACCTTGTTTAGAAATGGACCAGAGTCCAACTATATAAAGTCAACTTCCAGAAATAAGGTAAACTTAAATAGGACTAACCTGAGTTATTTATACAATGAAAGCTTGTTAAAAACAGTGTCCTTTCACACTTAAAACATCAAAGTATGGACAATGCAAATAATTTGAGCCACTTAGCAAACCATGGAGGAAAATTAAGCTAAACCCTCTCCCAAAGGTACCACAAAAAAAGCTACCTGTCAGGAAATAGTTTGATTGCACATATTGCTAAGCATGCAAATAGTCAACCTCAGCAGAATTGTGTACATTTTTAAAGCTTACTAAAAACAGTAATAATTTTGCATTATTTGAGACACCACAAAACTACACATTACCAGACAATCTGCAGTATTTTTGACATGCAGAAGAAAATACAAAAAGCTGAGAGCACAGGTCAGATGACCTCACTAAGAGTAACACAACTTGGACATCACCTGATTTTACGAGATCCACACAAGCCTCCAATGAACTTCACAGTCCTGGAAACAGATACTGTCATGTGCTTGAGGTCATACATCCAAATAAGCCTGTGAAAAAGCTGCCTGACTTTCTCCTTTTATGTTCAGAAGCCTCACTTAAACGTTAAAACATGGCCAATGAAACCACTGCTTTTGCTCTCCAGTCCACAAGCAAGGAGATTTAATGCTGTTCACCTCTCTTAAAGACCACCTGCTGTGCTATTCCCCAAATACAGACAAACTTGGCCTATACTTTCCTATTAAGTTTCAAGGTGTGGCTGAAAATAAATGACTTTTTAATCCTACATTAGCACATTAAAAGAGCCATTAATTACCCTTGGTAAAATATTTGCATTCTTAAAGAATGTACCGTTTTCCTCTTCCACTATATCTAAAATTCTACTTAATAACACAAGTTAAAGCATCCAGGAGGACAACACACAGTGGGAAAGGAGTTGAATTTTATACAAAGAATGCTTTAAGTCAGAAGTATTTTTGAAACGTATCTGTAGAGGGAGAAATGTAAAAAGCAATCCAACACTAAACTTTCCAAGTCTAAAGTTTCATTAGGCTATGGGAGACCTACCTATGTCAACAGCCCTGAACAAAAGTCTCATTTAGCAGTAGAAGGCAAAGTAAACTAGGACTTCACTTCCTCCAAAGCAGATACAGGCAAAACTTACATATAAAAAAAATGGAACAATTCCCATAGCACATTTGGGTAGTGTCCCTCCACTGAGGCTAACAAGCATTTTCATCTATGAAGCACTGCTCCCACTACAGTCATTTCTTCAGTCTAGAAAGCTTCATTAGAACCATCCAATCTAACCTACAAAGCACAAGCCACACCTATACTGCCTTAAAAACCCTGCTTTAAAATTGGAGCTGTGATTATTAAATTTCCTCTTGGGAAAGAAAAAAATTACACACTCATTTTATCTTCTTGATATAAAAAGTATCACCACTGATGGAGAATCTATCCTAGCTATAGATTGAATGTTACCTTCATCTTGTGAACTGCTGCAAGCAAGCTACCCTCTATCTTCTTTTGGAACACATTAAGTTTCTCCAGCTATTGCAAGGAAGACTTTTCAGACTTGTTTACATGCTCTGCTGAATTCTCTCGTACTTTCGGTTTGCTTCTTTAGCTATAAGCTACTGAGATATATACAACATTGCAGGAGTCACGTCAAACACATATATCCAGGGCTCATGTTTGCTGTTAGGCACAGTAACACAGTGGAAGCTCACGTTCACATGACGACTAGACTCTCTTGTATTTCCAGGATCCTAGGACAGTTTTCTATTTCTTCTGAAAACGAGTGCAAGGCTGTTCTTTGGATGTTAGATTTGTTCTATATTAACCCTATCAAGGGCAAACAGCACAGATCCACTCCTTTACAGTGATCCAGTTATACTA